TTCTTCACCTGCATTCTCACGCCATGCTTCGCGGCACTCGCCACACTCCTGCCAGAACTTGCCGGGCTTGCGGATGAGGACTTGAAGTGCGAATTCTGTAAAGCAAACCGTCAGGCACAACAGCTCTCATGGAAGGAACGACTGAAAGCCTTCACCCCTATGCACCTCTACGCGACTTTGCGTGTGGACGAGGAGGTCTACGGCTTCTTGGTTCGTACATACGCCATGGACCTCGAATGCAGGGGTATCTATGGGCTGAACCCTCGACTCCGCGTTTCTATTGTGCTAACGCGCTTTGGTGGTGGTTTAACCTACCGCCAACTCGGGATGATGTTCGGCTTGTCCCACACCCACGTCTGTCGTATTGTTCGTGATTACATCCGTTTCAGCAAGGAGCGTCTCACGCCTGAGTGGGTTAATTGGCCAGACGAGGAAGAGCTCGCCATGTTTGAAGACGACTTTCTGTGGAAGAGCGGGATCCCAGGGATTGTTGGCGCTTTGGACGGCACGTACATCCCCACGCGCGGATGGGGTGTTCACAAGGAAGACTTCAAAAACAGAAAAGGTTTTCATTCCGTAATCCTACAGCTAATCGTCGACAGCACCGGCATCATATGGGACTTCAATGTGGGATGGCCCGGATCGGTTAACGATGCACGGGTTTTTGCTAACTCGAAGGCTAGTCGCCACATTGCAAACGGGGGGGTCGGCGATTACTGCCTAGTTAGTGATGCAGCCTACAGACTGGAAAAGAACACCTTCGTCCCGTTCCGCGCGTGCCCGGGACGCCTCTTGCCTGATGCCCATGCCGTCTGGAACAAGCAGCAATCACGAGCTCGTATGATCGTCGAGCAAGTGAATGGCCGCTTGAAGACGAAGTGGCGCATCCTTGATGCGCGCATGGAGTGCCACAAACGCAACGTCCCTGACACTGTGGCGGCGGGTGTCACTCTTCACAACATTGAAATGCTCATCGGGAGACGCCATCGCATTGAGCCTCCCCGTCCTCGCAGCCGCTGGTGGCTTGACGGGCCAGCCGCGACGCTCACGCACACGGGCGAGGAGATCGAGGGCTTTACTCCGGCTTGTCTCCGGAATCGTCTGACTGCTTTCCCGTACGCTTCGTGGCATCTGGGCCATCCGCGCCAGTCGAGTCCGTTGCTCGGGTACGGTAAAAAAATCCGCGGATGCCTGTCTGAATCACCCGGGTTAGATTGTCACTCATGTGATCACACACTGCAAAGAGAAGAGACGTGCGTGAACCACTGGTACTGTCCTCATTGTCGTACTCCCCTATCCCCCCCTCTCGCCCAGGCGCCGATCTCGCCCGACCAGAACTAGGGGTGGGGCGCAGCAAAACACCAGAATGCGTACGGAGTGATTGCGGCGTCAGTGGGGCGCGCCCGCATAGACCTGATTCCGCACGAGTCGCAGTTGGGCTCAGAGGACCTCCAGAACTACGCGACGGTGTGCCCTCCAGTTGCACACGATTGCCGGTACTTGCCTCACGATCATGCATCGTCCGGGGAACTGGTGTGCTCGGTGCACTTCCGCCCATGATGGTGTCGCTCTTGCTTCCTGCAATGTGCAACAGGTTTTGTTATTGTCCAGCATTGTGTATTTGTCGAACAAATAATCTCTGTTTGATGTTGCATAATTAAAAGTAACGGATGGACAATGAGCTTACTTTTGTTGGAGATGTTCGGGGTTGTGTCTGGCGCGCTCTCAACCGTTGTTTCCGGATGCGCCGACTCGCTTGTCCCGAAGAGCTCGTCGAACATATCATACCACGCCGGGACTCCCCTAATGCGCTCCCGTCCGGACCTGTTAATAAGCCGCTTCCACTTATTGTAGGAGGCTTGCATGCGACGGAGCTTCGCGCGGATGGCTTGTGGCTTGTGGCGCCACTCGGGATAGTGGGACAGGAGATTCTTATGGAGGGTGGCGTCTTGGCTCTGGCCCTGGCACCCACGCATGTTCTTCATCAGTTCTTGAGGTCATACCTCACCTTCGCGAGCTGGAAATCTTCAGTTTTGGTCCATCGTGGCTTCACGCTCTTTTCCCCACCGCCCGAAGTCTTGCCAGTATCACGGGTGCCGGTGTTTGACGTCTCGACTTCCATATCGTCCGTGGAGTCATTGTCATCGTCGTCAGCGTTCCACTCATCTGGTGCCTCCGCGCCGACGCCGTAATCGTCGGTCGCGTTGTACGGCGCACTGGGATCAGGAAGCTGAGATGCGAACCACTCAGGCGGACGAAGGTGGGGGTTCGTATTACTTCCAGCGCCGGTACCGCGACTGCTAGGAGCGACGCCGGTTGAACCGCGGCTTCTCACGCCCGCGCTGGGCAAGGGGCCAGATGGGCGAGAAGGACCACCTTGAGTATGGATTGACGGGGGCTGATCGCCAGTCTGAGACACTTCGGTGTCGAGCATCTAAATACCCTGGCTGTCCGGAGCAGCATCATCGTCTTTCTCTTGCTCACCGTTGGAATCATCAACCATAGTTTTCCCTTTCTCGGTAGGGGAAGGCATGCTTGTAGTACTAGCTGTTCTGCATGCGTGGTGTGCTGGAGTTTATACGAATGCATTTGGAGTAGTCGTTTTTTGTAGTAGTCAAGAAATTTGATGTTCGAGTCGCGGACAACAGTGCACACACATTGGTGGGGTCACCTGGTTTGGTCTACAGCTGCCGTCGTGCATGTCGCAAAAACAGACCGCGGTCAATACGCGACCAGAGGAGCACGGCAGGCATGTTTGCGTGACTAGATGTGGTCGCACGTACGGTCACTTGGTTGGGGCGTTTGCGGCTTGGTCGTTACCGTGGTCGTTTGGCGGGAAAATCTCGCATCCCTCGCCATCGTGTTACTGTCGAAATGCTAGGCAAGAATCAGAAACAAAAAAGGAGGGGTTGCACTAGCAAGCAGGTGGATACATATAGGAAACCCTAAGGGGCCGTACTCACTATAAAGTACCCCACTGCAGGCTAGACAAACTACACATTCTGACACACCCCCATAGTCAAAGTGGGGTATGATCAGCACAACAAGCAGCAGTTTATAGTTCACAAATATAAGCTAAACTAGAGGCTATCACAGAGGGCAAGTGAGGAGGAGGAGAGGTTGTGGGGGCAAGAAGATGGGAGGCGACGGCTGAAGCTGCAGACACACGGGCGACAGGAGCGGCTGGCACAGTGGCTACCGGGACAGCGCCCCGGACTACTGGAGTAACTGGCTCGGCGGCTACGAGAAGCGGCAGGAGCAACGGACCCACGGGCGACAGGCGCAGCAGGCTCTCTGGGCTACCAGCGGCAGAGCCCCGGACTACAGGTGCTGCGGACGACAAGACGGCAGCCTCCGCTCAACCTCCCCCAACTGTCCCACACCCCTTTCACACACTCCCTGCTGTACCCCTAGCATTGCTCACACGCCACCCCCCTCGTTCCACTCCGACAGCTCCAACACATCCAACCCCCTCAGCGGCAGCTGCAGCAGTGGGAGACGGAGGAGGAGGAGGAGCAGGGGACGGCGCACACACCCTTCGCCCCCATACTCGCCACCCCCATACCCTGAGTGTGCGGTAAGCGAGCTCAGGTGTGCGCGAAGCGTGCACATGCGTGCGGGAAGAGAACTCGGGTGTGCGGAAAGCGAACTCAGGTGTGCGGGGAGGGGGGGGGCGCAGGGCGACGCGCGGGTCGACGGGGACGGGCGCACGGGTCCCCGGAAGCGGCGCGTGGGTCGACGGGGTCGCCACGAAGGGCGACGGGGAGCCGCGCGCGGGTCGACGGGGCCGCCGCTTAGGGCGACGAGGAGCCGCGCGCGGGTCAACGGGGCCGCCGCGAAGGGCGACGGGGAGCCGCGTGCAGGTCGACGGGGACGGGCGCAGGGGTCGACGGGGGGCGCCGCGACGGAACGCGAAACCGCCACGTGCGCCCAGGGTGCGCGGCGGGCAGGAAACCGCCACGCGTCCCGAGCGCATGGCGGGCAGGCGCGCGGCGGGCAGAAAACCGCCATGCGCCCCGAGCGCGTGGCGGGAAGAAAAAACGTCGCGCGCCACGGGGCGCGCGACAAACAGGACAGATCGCGCACGCAGGGCGTGCGATAGGCAGGACAGCAGCGGAAGCATCGGGTGGGACCACCCACATGATCGACCCAGGAGGGTCGACCTGCTCTGATAGCATGTCGAAATGCTAGGCAAGAATCAGAAACAGAAAAGGAGGGGTTGCACTAGCAAGCAGGTGGATACATATAGGAAACCCTGAGGGGCCGTACTCACTATAGAGTACCCCACTGCAGGCTAGACAAACTACACATTGTGATAGTTACACCCTTCGCATGCGCATGCCCCAACCAAATGTTACATGCCCTAAAGCAGACTGAATTGTTGTCAGATTGCTGGAGTCGTCTCCAAGCGTTGCTAAGAATAGAGTAGTAGTAGCAGTCTTCGTTGCGCTGCGTGCTTCCAAAACGATCTGAAGCTAATGAGACCTGTGCGCTCGAATCGAAGCAAGGTCAGTTGGATTCGAAGCGACAGCGTAACTTATCAGTGATAGATTCGGGCGAAATCATCATAGGGAGTTCATCAGTAACCAGTCTTTCACCATGCTAGCTGCAGCAGAGCGTATGGCGAAAGTGGTGAACTGGCAGCAGACGGCAATCGTGTCAGCAGCCCTCATTGCCACCGTTATAATCACGAGCCAATGCTGTAAGCGCTGACGCCCGCGTCGCGCTTCTATCCTCCCAAATTATTCTATTATCCGCTCATTCACTTAGGACCACAACGCTCATACTATGACCATCACATTAGTAATATTAGTTATATTACCATCACATATCCCCTTCGAGTACTTCCCATTGTCAACTTGGAGACCAACCCTACAAGTTTTCTTGACGATTTTTGTTCCTATGACGTAGTGGTAACACTCTCATACCACTACGCGTATATTCCTAACGTTTTCATCCTCATCCCTTTGTACAAAACATGTCCGGGACGCTTCCTGCAGACACGGCTTCTTGGAATGCCAGTGCGAGTCGACCATCAGACGACGGCACCGTCACTTCCAGTAACCAGCAAGACTCTCAGAAACCCTCGAGGTTCCACATTCGGGATTACGGCCTCCAGGGACCTATTCCCTGGACTTACATCCGACCTTCCGTCCGCGATGAGTTTACTGTCAACGGCTCGATCCAAGCCGTTGAAAATTTCCGCGGGATGGATTCGTACGATTCCGGAGCGAAGGAGTTCGTCTGGCCAACCGAACAAATCGACAATTATCGGCGACAGGCGGAGGAGCGAGCCCCGAAAGTTTGCCCTTATGGAGTCAATAGCACCCTATCGTTTTACGAGGCGTTAGACAAGTACCCTGTGAAAGGGAAATCGGTGCTGGTGGTAGGGAGTCAAATCCCTTGGCTAGAGGGGATTCTCTTGGCATTTAAAGCTGGATCAATCACGACTGTTGATTTCAACAAACCGGTTGCAGATTATCCCGGATTGAGGCTGTGGAATATTCCTGAGTTGGACGCTACAGATGAAACCTTCGACGTGGTAGATTCTTATTCGTCGCTGGAACACGATGGGCTGGGGAGATATGGCGATCCGCTAAACCCGGACGGGGATCGGTTGAGAATGATGAAGGTAATTGCACTTAAGTGCTCGGTTAATGTGATCCAGTTTCCGTGCTATTTGTTACCTAACCATGCTTCCTACGGGTTTGCTCTCTGCTGAGATTTTCTGCATCCTGCCATGTGATTGCGTCAGCTGAGGCGTGCATGTCCTTGCCCAGTCCTGTTGCCCCTCTGAGGCATCTCCTCTCACATCCTACCTCTTCTTGCTCTTAGCTGCCATGTCCCTTCGCATCTGTCCCCTTTGCTGCTGTGCAGATCAGGGGCCTCCTCAAGCCGGGAGGGCTCTTCTTCCTGGGGCTCCCAGTGGGCAACGACACGCTGGTGTTCAATGCGCATCGGGTGTACGGTCCCATCCGCATGCCGCTCCTGCTTGAGGGATGGAAGCTGCTGGACGTGTTTGGGGTGTCCAGTCTCGAAACAGCGTACAGGGAAAACCTGAATGCGGACATCATACAGCCGGTCATGGTGTTGAGGTAGAGGAGAGGTTTTGGAACGCAGCTATGCATACGTTGGCAACAGCAACACATGCTCTTGCTACAGCAATGCATGCTCTTGCCACAGGAATGCATTCTCGTGCCACTGTGATCCAAACTCTCAACCAACACACAGCTACCAACCGCTCAAGGGGGATATATTTCTCCTTAATTCTCCACGTGCAACCACCAGGCCTGGCTTTAAGAACCGTCATTTAAGTAGTACCTTTACATACGTATGCACAGGCTGCATCTCTTCAGCGGGGTCAACTATGCTTGCTGAGAGGGCACAAGTATGGTGGTGACGTCGGTTTTTGCGTTGTCGTGGTCACAAGGGCGATGCTGATTGGGATTCTTAGTAGTAAAAAAATGGATTGGGCGTCTTGTGTTTCCAACTTTTTCAACTACCGTATTAGGTATTTCAGCATGATTATGTGAGGGAGGTGCTGGATTGGAACAAGGTAACTAAATTCGTTTAGAGAAGCAATTAGCATTACATTTGCTGAAAGTCATCATGTATCAGCGGACTGTAAGCGGGCCATAGTGAGTCGCCGAACATTCCCACCACATTCAAGTGATTTATAGGGGGTTTTCCCGCTCATGAAAACCACCCGAGGTCCTAACAAAGCAAGGGAAGACCTGACACAAACACAGAAGCGCGAGCTCCGTGGTTCCAGTGTGCGGGTTCGATGGGATGACAAGTACAAGCGTTGGTTGGCATACAAGCCATGCAAAGGTTGGGCACAGAGCAATCGGCGGCCCAGATGAGAATGACATTTTCATCTGCTTATCGTGGCCGTTGGTGATGATAGCTGAGCTGGTCCCACTCAATCGTGCTGTACCTGCGGGTGCTGTACCAATTCGATAAGGGCTGGGATTCAAGTCGGGAGAAGCGGGAAAGGAACCTGGAACAAGCAAGCAGGCCAGACGGAAGCGTGATGCACGTGTTATTGAGAGATGCATGAGTGTCAAAACCTTAGTTGCTAAGATCAGTCTGGTTGTCGCAATACTTTATACAGCGGCGTTCACAACAGCAGCATTGCAGCAGTCTTCGTAGCGGTTAGAGCTTCCAAGTCGTTCGGACTTTTGCACTTCAACAGACGCAAGGTCACTTGCATTCGAGGCGACAGTTCAAATCAGTGAGCGAGATATACATAGTACATTCGTAATCAGCCATTCACCATGGTATCTGCAGTTAAGCGTATAGCGAAAGTGGTGCACTGGCAGCACACGGCAATTGTGTCGGCAGTCCTGATCGGCACCGTTATAATCGCTAGCCAATACTGTAAGCCCCGACTCCCGCGTCGCACTTCTTTCGTTTTCTTCTTCTTCTCTCTCTCGCAGATAGAATTACCATCAGATATTCCTTTTGAGGTTGTAAGTTCCACTGAAATATTTAGAAGCTATCGCCTCATTTCCTTTATCTATGAGTATCATTCTTTTACCACATTTTGTGCAACTCATTTGCGCATGCACCCTGCAGACACGGCTTCGTGGAGCGACTGCACCATCACTGCCAGTAACCAGCAAGACTTCAAGAAATTCTCGAGATTCCACATTCAGGACTACGGCCTCCAGGGACCCATTCCCTGGAACTACATCAGACCGTCCGTCCGCGATGCCTTTACAGTCAACGGCTCGATCCGGGTCATTGAATTTTTCCGCGGGACGGATATGGTGGACTCTGGAGCGAAGCCGTTCGTCTGGTCGACCGAGTTTGTCGCCCAAAAACGTCGACGGGCGGAGAGGCGATACCCTCTGGTTTCTAGTTACGGCGAAAATACAACCTTAACCTTTTATGAGGCGTTCGATAAGTACCCTGTGAAAGGGAAATCGGTACTGGTGATAGGGAGTCAAAACCCTTGGGTTGAGGGGATTCTCCTGGCGTATAAAGCTGGGTCAATCACGACCGTTGATTTCAATAAACCGGTTGCAGATTATCCCGGGTTGAGGCTGTGGAATATTGCCGAGCTGGACGCTACAGATGAGACCTTTGACGTGGTAGCTTCGTATTCGTCGCTGGAGCACGATGGGCTGGGGAGATATGGCGATCCGCTAAACCCGGATGGGGATCGGCACAGAATGATGAAGGTGATTATGATGTGCTCTGTTTTTTGGGATGCGGTTTCCGTGATATGGGATTCCTACGTGGAGTTAAACCTGCTATGTGGTAACCATGATATGAGGTTGACAGTGACATGCGGTAATTGTGCTTAAAACGTGTTTGTTCACTGCTAAATTGTACTGCATCCTGCCATGTGTTAGTGTCATAGGTGTTCTTCCTTACCACGTCCTGTTTACCCTTTGCAGCCATGTCCTCTCAGTTCAATGGTACTTCTTACCCTTTGCAGCCATGTCATCTAGTACTTCCTCCCGTTCTGCCGTTTCAGCTGCCCTGAAAGTCCCCACCAGCTCATGCCACCCTTCCCAAGGCACTAGCTCCCTTGTCCTTCAACGTCTTCACTCAGCTGGCTTATCCTCTGGCATCTGCTCCGCTGCTTGCAGCAATGCAGAGCAAGGGCCTTTTGAAACCGCGAGGATGTGTCCTCCTGGGTGCCCCAGTGTGCAGCGACAAGCTGGGATTTGATACTGAGCGCATGTAGCACAATCTCACCTCTCGCATTCCCATCCCCTGCCAACCCCTCCTCCCCTTCGTGGCTGGGCAGATCAGGGGCCTGTTGAAGCCAGGAGGGCTCTTCCTGCTGGGGGTCCCTGTGGGCAACGATTCACTAGTGTTCAATGCGCATAGAGTGTACGGTCCTATCCGGATGCCGCTGCTGCTTGAGGGATGGGAACTGGTGGACGTGTTTGGGGTGTCCAGCCTCGAAGCAGCTTATAAGGTGAACATGGATAACGCCACCGTGCAGCCAGTCATGGTGTTGAGGTAGATGTTTCCGAGGGCAGTTATTTATATGTTTGCCAGAGCAATGCATGCTCTTTCCACAGTAAGCCAAACTCCAAAAGCACAGCTACCAAACGCTGAAGGTGGATATCTCCTCAGTCTTCGCAAGCAACCACCAGGCCTGAATGTAAGGTCTGTGTTCCAGAGAACTCAGACCTCCAATCAAAGCCAGCAGCATACTCGTCACCACTGGCGAGCATCAGGTTTGTTGACGTCAGTTTTTGCCTCGCACCAGAGGCCGATGCTGCTGTAGCTGAATCCAGAAGCAGCAAGCAACGCTGGAGCAGTTTTTTGTCCCTTCATCATGCCCCAGTACACCCTTGGCACCGCAGTGCCTGGCCGGACTCCACCGTGGTCACTAGGGGGTACTAAGGGGGTTGGTGTGTTGGTGGTAGTGGTAGAATTGGCTTTTGAGTGGTAAATGGGAGTGGGATTTCCAGAAACACTCCGGTACCTTAGTAAGCATCGTGTTGGATGGATGTACATCTACTGGCCGTGAGTCGGACTCTCACCATGCCTCACACCCCCACACCTCTCCCCTCTCATCCCCCTTCTCCTAATGCCCCACATAATTTGAAATAGTCCACTGTGTAGTGTGTTGGGTTCTCAAGTGACCTTATCAACAATTTGGTTGTTCAGCGCGAGTATGTGTGGGAGGTGTTGAATGAAAATGAAGTAACTATTTCCTCTTGAGAAGAAATAACCATTCCAATTTCTGAAATTACCCGTGTAGCAAATTTTATCAAACTGTAATCGAGTCACAGTGAGACGCAGAACATTTCCCACTTGCACTCATAAGCACACCACTCTGGCGGTGTTTCCCGCTCATGACAACCACCCGAGCTTCCATGGTCTAGCGCACAAGGCAAAACCTGACACCATTTTGGTTGGTTGGCTGACAACTTTCCAAAGCAATGGTTGTGCACAGAGCAATCGGCGGCCCCTACGAGACTGAGATTTCCATCTCCTTATCGTGGCCGTTGGTGATGATAGCTGAGCTGGTCCCGCTCAACCCGTAATTGCGGTCGCGGGTGAGGGCCTGGGATTCAAGTTGGGTCTGGTCGGGGAAGCGGGAACCTCGAACAAGCAAGCAGGCAGAGCTTCACTAACGAACGTATGTGTGATGCCATGCGATGAGGAATATTACGATACAAGTACCTCTGTCAGATTCTTAGAGTTGTCAACAGCCAGAGTCGGCAAGGTCAGTCTGGTTGATGCGAGACTTTACACAGCTGCGTTCACAACAGCAGCATTGCAGCACTCTTCGTACCTCTTCGTGCTTCCAAGTCGATTCGAAACTATTGAGACTTCTGCACTTGAACAGACGCAAGGTCACTTGCATTCGAGGCAACAGTATAAGTAATCAATCGGAGCGAGATATTCATAGAAAGTACGTCGTCAACCATCAGCCATTCACCATGCTATCTGCAGCAGAGCGTATGGCGAAAGTGGTGAACTGGCAGCAGACGGCAATCGTGTCAGCCGTCCTGATCGCCACCACTATAATCGCTAGCCAATGCTGTAAGCCCCGGCTCCCGCGTCGCTCCTCTTTCCTCGATTTTGTTTGTTTGTTTTTTTTTTTAGTTAATTTAGGACGTCACCACACCCACAAACCATCACATTTCTCCATTGTCAACTTAGTGAACAACCCCTACAAAGATCTCTGAGATATTTTTTGTTTGCATGACGTAATACTAGCATTTTCACACCACATTTAGTCTCATCGCGGCTATACCTAACGCTTCCATCCTTATCCCTCTGTATAACTCATATCGCTGATGCACCGTGCAGACACGGCTTCTTGGAATGACAGTGCGAGCCGACCATCTGACGGCTGCAATATCGCTGCCAGTGACCAGCAAGGCTCTCAGAATCCCTCGAGATTCCACATTCGGGACTACGGCCTCCAGGGACCCATTCCGTGGACGTACATTCGACCGTCCGTTCGCGATGAGTTCACAGTCAACGGTTCGATCCAAGCCGTTGATCACTTCTACGGTATGGATAAGCATGACTCCGGAGTGAAGCCTATCGTTTGGCCGACCGAGGAAATCGACCTAAGACGGCAACGGGCAGAGGCGCGACTCCCTCAGGTTTCTGCTTACGGCGCAAATACAACCTTAACTTTCTACGAGGCGTTTAATAAGTACCCAGTGAAAGGGAAATCGGTGCTGGTAGTGGGGAGTCAAGTCCCTTGGCTCGAGGCAATTCTCTTGGCGTATAAAGCTGGGTCGATCACGACCGTTGATTTTAACAAACCAGTTGCAGATTATCCCGAATTGAGGCTGTGGAGTATTCCCGAGCTGGACGCTACAGATGAGACCTTTGACGTGGTAGCTTCTTATTCGTCGCTGGAGCACGATGGACTGGGGAGATATGGCGATCCGCTAAACCCGGATGGGGATCGGCTCAGAATGAAGAAGGTACGTCTGCTGAGGTGCTTGGGTTTGGGTATGCGGTTTCCTCGTATGGGTTGCCTAACCGTGCTTCCGACGTGTTTGATCTCTGCTAAAAATGTATGTATCCTGCCACGTGTTTGCATCAGCTGATGCGTGCGTGTCCTTACTATTCATGTTACCCGTATTAAACCATCTCCTCTCACATCATTCTACGTCGTTCTGCCGTTTGAGCCGCCTCAAAGTCCTGCCATCCCTGGTTTTACGCTCCCAAAACTCATATGTTCTCATGTCATTCACCTTTTCACCTGCCACGTTATATGCCATGTAACTTGCCATGTAATCTGTCCTGTCATTTGCAATGTGATCTGCCATGTCATTTGCCATGTCCTCTGACATATCCTCCCGTTGCGGCTGGTGCCATTCCCTTGCATCCCCTCCGCCCCGTTGTGGCTACGCAGATCAGGGGCCTCCTCAAGCCGGGAGGGCTTTTCTTCCTGGGGCTCCCAGTGGGCAACGACACGCTGGTGTTCAATGCGCATCGGGTGTACGGTCCCATCCGCATGCCGCTGCTGCTCGAGGGATGGAAGCTGCTGGGAGTGTTTGGGGTGTCCAGTCTCGAAGCAGCTTATAGGGAGAACCTGAAAGCGCAACTCTTACAGCCGGTCATGGTGCTGAGGTAGAGGTTGATGTTTGCCTCAGCAACCCTAACTACCAATGCACAGCTACCAAGCCCGGAAGGGGGACTCTCGCTCCTCAAAGTCTCCGTGGGCAACCACAATGCTTGATTTTTAAAACTCGAAGTAATGTAGAGTGTATTATGAATAGGCTGATTCTCGTCAGCAGCAACGAGTATGCTTGCTTATAGGTCTCCAAGACTGTTAGAGAGCCTCAGGTATGTTAATGCCAGTTTCTGCCTTTTAGTTAGAGCGTATTCCTACGGGGCCACCTCGTATCAAGAATGAAATTGACTTTTGTTTACGGTATAAAACACCTTATATCAAGAATAGACCGAACCAGCGCACCAATGAAAATGCTCGCACACCCAGAAGTGAACGTGCTGATTTTCCGACGCACGGTTCCAGTTGACGCGAAGTCGTCAGTCCAGTGAATGCGGCCGACAAACAGTCATGCGAAACTGCACACGGTGGCAGTCGTGCGCCGCGCGCGAACGTGTAAAGTGTGCAAACTTGTTCATGCTGGGTCGCAACATGCCACATCAGCTGTTGATGGAGTCGCACATGTGGGTTAACCGGCAACTTTTACTGATATGAGGTTTTGGCGAACTTGTCAATTTACAGGCAGGAGTACCATTCTTGATACGAGGTGGCCCCGTAGGAATACGCTCTTAGAGCAGCAAAGAGTCTTTCCAATGACGTCACAGCTGCCTCTCTTGTCAGCTTGAACTACCATTGTGACCTGGCATAGCCTGGCCTGTCCAATCCCATGACATCCAACAAACAAAAACAGTTGTATAAATAGTGGAAGGAAACTCAAGGTAGAAATACATGCAATATGAATTGTCACGCCGAAATAAGGGCGTGTGTGAATCTAATTGCAGTTCGAAAATGGGATCGAACCTAGTGTGGTAACCGATTTCGAGCATTGTCGCAAACGTCTTCGCCAATGCCGTGTTCACTTTGTCACGAACGAAACTCGAACCCCGAAAAGTGAACAAGATTCGAGTTAATGAGCAAACATGGTTTTGCACGATGTAGTGAACGTGTGTGGTTTCAGGCACGTACGCGGAATGTGCGACACTCGCAACAAATTCGTGCGATTCGTTGACGTGTCGCGCTGTCAAGATGCCGATACTGGGTAACTTACGCAGCCTAGAAGCGGTTCGGTTCCCCCCCTACAGGCTCGAACTTGCAGATTCGCACTTGCGCGTGTGGTTGTGAGTTTACAACTTTTGACACTTGCGGTTCGAACCTTGCAAACACTCAAAATCGAGTCAGGTTCGCTTAGTGTTCACTTGCTACAATCGAGTCAAAAACCTAAACTTAAGGTGAAAACTAGATTCACACACGCCCTAACTCTTCCATGACAAATGTACGATACTCTTAGCAAAGAAAACTTAGATGCTATAATTGTTTTTACAATGAAGGCAGTTTCACCCCAAAAGTAAGGAGGATAAATCTACCACCACTGTTGCAAGAAACCAGGTTGTGAAGGAGACTGTGCTTACAAACGAAACAGGCTCCAAAACCAATCACCTTCACTCATTAGTTCGAGGTCGGAGCGCTCATTCGAACCGTCTTTAGACTTGAGTTCTCTTCCTGCTCCTAAGATTGCATGGCCGCAGCGCTCGCGTATCGCGCCATTCACGCCGCGTCGCCTCTTCGATCGCCAACAAGCCTTGCGTGCCTCAAAGCCAGACCGCCAGTGCGCATCCGCGCCTCGAACCGCGCGTCTCCGGTGGTGCTCCTGCGTCCGTCTGAAGCGCCTCGGTCGCTGCGCCATTACCGCGCGTCTCGACTAGCCCATCAAATCGTCGCATTCCCCGCCCTCCCCGCTCAAGCCGTCGCCGCTCCCACGCGTCCGCGCAGGCGACTCCTTCCCGTCCGAGCGATGGCGACTGCGATAAATGCGACTGCGACCGATGCGACTGCTGGCGACACTCCCGGCAAAGTGAGGAACTGAATCGCTTATCACTCGTTGTATTCTATAAATCGATTAATCGCCGATAAGTGTGTGGCTTGTATTCTATTAAGCGCCTCGAGAACGGACCTCTCAAGTGCCTACCAGTGGCTTTTGAGATTTCGAATAAACGAATCAGATTATACCGAGGTGCTTCACTCGTTATCAAGGAGTTGGAACCGTCCGATTCACGCCTCGAGATCGTCTCTCCCTTCATTAGATCACCTCAAATCACCTCGCGGATCCTACTGGTTCCCACTGGATCTCACTGGATCCCATTGGTTCCCATAGAATCCCACTGGTTCCCATTGAATCTTGTTGAATCCCATAGGATTTCATTGGATCTCGTTGAATCCCGCAGATGGGATCACCTCAAAGCGAGGGTCACGCTCCTCAATGCAGTGTGGATACATTCTGCGGGTCGTGGTGCCATGCTGTGCCGTGCCGTGCCGTGCCGTGCCGTGCTGTAAGCAAGCAGCCCCTCCGTCCTGCCTGCCTTCTCCGCTGAACCCACCCTGCTCATTGCACACTTCAACAACGCATCGCGCTGTGCCAGCTGGCAGTGGGTGGGTGTGCTGTGCTGACAACTGAAGCCCCACAGATGCTCCCCCTCTTCCACCCACCGACCCGCTCGCCCGCCCCTCCCCGACCCCTTTTGAGTCGACTCAAAAGCAGTGGGTGGGTGTGCTGTGCTGACAACTGAAGCCCACAGATGCTCTCCCCCTCTTCCACCCACCTACCCGCTCGCCCGCCCCTCCCCCACCCACCCGTTGCCATTCGCAGTTCACGATCGCGCTGTGCCAGCTGGCAGTGGGTGGGTGGTGACACCTGGAACGCACTGATGTTTCCCTCCCTCCTCCACCTTCCCACCCACCCACCCCTCCCTGGCAGTTCAAGATCGCGCTGTGCCAGCTGGCGGTGGGTGCTGACAAGGCGCGCAACATCGAGCATGCGAGGGACGTGATTGGCCGCGCTGCGGACCAGGGCGCTAGGCTCGTGCTGCTGCCGGTATGGGGGGAAAGGGGGGGGATGGGGGCGGGATGGGGGGGGTGGGGGGGGAGGATGAGGGGGAGATGGGGGGGGGAATGAGGGGGATGGCCGGCAGAGAGGAGAAGGAATGGGTGATACGGTTGTCTGTGCTGTGGACTAGGGTGGTAAGTTCGTGCTGCTGGTTGCATGGGTGGAGGCGCATGGGGAGAGAGGGGTAGGCGGACTGAGAGTGGTAGGATGGGGGGAGTGGGTCATATAGTTGTCTGTGCTGTGGACTAGGGTGGTAAGTTGGTGCTGCTGGTTGTATGGGTGCAGGGGGGGTGGAGAGAGGGGAAGGGTGGGGGAGAGCGGGGACGGGGAAAGGGAGCGACAGGGCGCATGGCATGATTGGCTGTAAAGCTTGTGCTGCTGCCGGTATGGGTGGAGAGGGGGCAGAGAGAGGGGGGGGGGAAAGAAAGGTAGAGTGAAGGGGAGAGGGGATGGAGAGTGGGGGGATGGTGGCATGGTGACATGGCGGCATGGTGGCATGGTGACATGGCAGCATGGTGGCATGGTGGCATGGTGGCATGGTGGCAGGGGTTGAGTGATTTGTGTAGTGTGGGAGTGTGTTGATGTGTGAGTGTGTTACATGTGGGATTGTATTCGTGCGTGAGTGTTTTTTTAGTAATCGATTCCGTTCCCTCCCATTTCCCTTTACTTCTTATCAGTCCCCTTTATTCTCCCCCATTCACTTACTCCACCCCATAACCCCGTATTCCCCCTCATTTCCCCTAGTTCTACCTTATCTCCCTTCGTTGCCCCTCCTACCCTCCCATACCCCCATTTCCCTCCCATTCCCCCCGTTCTCCCTTTTTCCTCCTTCTCAATTCTAATCCTCATCCCTCCCACCTTCCTCCCACCCTCTCTTCCGTCCCCCTTGCTCCTTTCCCTCCCCCCTCCCCGCCTGCCCCCTTCCCCACCTACCCCCCTCCCCCTCGTCTCTCCCTCATTTCCAGGAAATGTGGAACTGCCCTTATTCCAACGACAATTTCCCCACCTACGCGGAGGAGATTTCCCTGGAAGATTCCTTTGCCTCCTCACCCTCCGCTGCGATGCTCGCTGACGTGGCGGGGCGGCACGGCGTGACTATAGTGGGGGGTTCCATTCCCGAGAGGAGGGAGGGGCGGCTGTACAACACGTGCCTTGTGTTTGGCAGCAAGGGGGAGTTGAAGGGTCGGTTCAGCAAGGTGAGGGTGGTTTGGATGTGACTATGTGCAGGTGTGACTGTAGGCAGGTATAAGACTATGGCAGGTAATTCTATTCCTAGGAGGAGGGAGGGGCGGCTGTACAACACGTGCCTTGTGTTCGGCAGCAAGGGGGAGTTGAAGGGTCGGTTCAGCAAGGTGAGGGAGATGTGACTGTGGAGAGAGGAAGGGGAAAGGAGTTGGGGGGAGGGAGAAGGAAAGAAGGTGAGGAATGTAGAGGGCGGTTGAGTATGGTGGGGTCATGTTTGAACATTCTTGCTTTTGAACATTCTTGCTTTTGAACATTCTTGCTTTTGAACATTCTTGCTTTTGAACATTCTTGCTTTTGAACATTCTTGCTTTTGAACATTCTTGCTTTTGAGCATTCTTGCTTTTGAACATTCTCGCTTTTGAGCATTCTTGCAAGGGTGACTATTCCCTCCTCTCTGCCTATCCTCCCCTCCCCAGCGCCCCTGTTCTGTTCCCCCTGTTCTGTTCCCCCTGTTCTGTTCCCCCTGTGCTGTTCCCCCTGTTCTGTTCCCCCTGTTCTGTTCCTCCTGTTCTGTTCCCCCTGTTCTGTTCCCCCTGTTCTGTTCCCCCTGTTCTGTTCCCCCTGTTCTGTTCCCCCTGTTCTGTTCCCCTGTTCTGTTCCCCCTGTTCTGTTCCCCCTGTTCTGTTCCCCCTGTTCTGTTCCCCCTGTTCTGTTCCCCCTGTTCTGTTCCCCCTGTTCTGTTCCCCCTGTTCTGTTCCCCCTGTTCTGTTCCCCCTGTTCTGTTCCCCCTGTTCTGTTCCCCCTGTTCTGTTCCCCCTGTTCTGTTCCCCCTGTTCTGTTCCCCCTGTTCTGTTCCCCCTGTTCTGTTCCCCCTGTTCTGTTCCCCCTGTCAACTGGATCTCCCTGTCAACTGGATCTCCCTGTCAACTGGATCTCCCTGTCAACTGGATCTGTTTGGCGTCTCAGGGAGAATCACGGTGCCATCCCGCCCCTCCCCTTTCCCCCTGTCCCTCACCTGCATATGTTTCTGACACTTCTCATCAGCACTTTCTCCTCTTGTCCCTCTCACCCACCCACCCGCCTTTGAGCATTCCCAAAAGCTGTCCCTCACCCACCCGCCCTTCCCATTCCCTCCCCCGCCAAACCCCCCTTTTTACCCCCTCCCCCATCTCCCTGTCCCCTCCCCCGCTCCACTCCCCTGTGACCCCCCCCCCCTCACCGTCCTCCCTGCCCCCCCATCAGCTGCACCTGTTTGGCATTGACATCCCGGGAGTCTCACACACTCAACCCCCCCATGTTGCCCTCCCCCCTCCGCCCCCCTGTGCCCTCTCCCCCTCACCGTCCTCCCTGACATTGACATCCCAGGGAACGACTTTTGAGGCGCCTCAAAAACTGACATCCCGGGGAAGATCACATCTGTCTTCCCCTGTCTTCTTCCCCCCCGATCCCCCCTCCCCCTCACCGTCCTCCCTGTACCCCCATCAGCTACACCTGTTCGACATGACATCCCCTCTCACCGCCCTTTCTTCCCCTCTTGTCCCCTTACCCACCGCCTTTGTCAGCTTCATCTGCTTGACACTGACATCCCGGGGAAGATCATGTCAAAAGAGTCTCACACGCTCACACCCACTTCCTGTTCCCCCTACCCTTCCCCCTCCCCTCTCCCCTTTCCTCCCCCCCTATGTTCCCCTCCCCCTGTGTCCCCTCCCCCTCACCGTCCTCCCTGTCCCCGCATCAGCTGCACCTGTTTGACATAGACATCTCCTTTCACCGCGTTCCCTTCCCCCCTTGTCCCCTTACCTGCCCCCATCACCGTCCTCCCTGTCCCCCCATCAGCTGCATCTGTTTGACATTGACATCCCATCGTTTCCCGTTTCCTTCCCCTCTTGTCCCCTTACCTCCCCCCCTTGTCAGCTGCACCTGTGCGTCATGACATCCCCTCTCACCCCCCTTTCTTCCCCTCTTGTCCCCTTACCCATTCCTCTGTCAGCTACATCTCTTTGACATTGACATCCCCTCGCTCCCCGTTTCCTTCCCCTCTCAGCTGCACCCCGTTCCCTTCCCCTCTTGTCCCCTTACCCCTCTCCCCCGTTGTCAGCTACATCTCTTTGACATTGACATCCCAGGGAAGATCACATTCAAGGAGTCTGACACACTCACACGTGGCGATCAGCCATTGGTCGTTGACACAGGTGGGCTGCCCTTGTGTGTTTATATAGTCAATGCATGTATTGCTTTAGTAGCAGGTGTTTTTTCTCAAGTGATTTGTTGCTGTCTTCTATGGTGTGTGTGAAAGTGTAAAAAAAAAATGTGTGTGTTGAGACTTCTCAAAATAGATTTCTCATCAAGTTGTTTTTTGCTCAAGTCATGTGCTGCTGCCTTTTTGTGTTGTGTGTGCAAGAATGCCTGTTCCATTCCGTTCCATTCCGCTCCGTTCCGTTCTGTTTAATATTCACATCCCGTCCACCACACGTGTCCCTTCCCTCCTTCAGTCTCCAATTCTTCTTTGATTCGTTCGATTCGGTCCCATATTCGCCCTCCTTTGTTTCATGACTTGGATGGCAATCTGCTCATTCATGACTTGGATGGCAATCTGCTCATTCATGACTTGGATGGCAATCTGCTCATTCATGACTTGGATGGCAATCTGCTCATTCATGACTTGGATGGCAATCTGCTCATTCATGACTTGGATGGCAATCTGCTCATTCATGACTTGGATGGGAATCTGCTCATTCATGACTTGGATGGCAATCTGCTCATTCATGACTTGGATGGCAATCTGCTCATTCATGACTTGGATGGCAATCTGCTCATTCATGACTTGGATGGCAATCTGCTCATTCATGACTTGGATGGCAATCTGCTCATTCATGACTTGGATGGCAATCTGCTCATTCATGACTTGGATGGCAATCTGCTCATTCATGACTTGGATGGCAATCTGCTCATTCATGACTTGGATGGCAATCTGCTCATTCATGACTTGGATGGCAATCTGCTCATTCATGACTTGGATGGCAATCTGCTCATTCATGACTTGGATGGCAATCTGCTCATTCATGACTTGGATGGCAATCTGCTCATTCATGACTTGGATGGCAATCTGCTCATTCATGACTTGGATGGCAATCTGCTCATGCTTTTGCTCACACATTCAAGCACCCCCTGCACGCAAGTGGTGGTGGGCAGTTGCAATCAAAGTTCCCACCACCACTTGCGGGCAAGTCTCATCCTTCCTCTGCTCCCGTACTCTCCCCTCCTCTCTTCCTTCCTCTGCTCCCGTACTCTCCCCTCCTCTCTTCCTTCCTCTGCTCCCGTACTCTCCCCTCCTCTCTTCCTTCCTCTGCTCCCGTACTCTCCCCTCCTCTCTTCCTTCCTCTGCTCCCGTACTCTCCCCTCCTCTCTTCCTTCCTCTGCTCCCGTACTCTCCCCTCCTCTCTTCCTTCCTCTGCTCCCGTACTCTCCCCTCCTCTCTTCCTTCCTCTGCTCCCGTACTCTCCCCTCCTCTCTTCCTTCCTCTGCTCCCGTACTCTCCCCTCCTCTCTTCCTTCCTCTGCTCCCGTACTCTCCCCTCCTCTCTTCCTTCCTCTGCTCCCGTACTCTCCCCTCCTCTCTTCCTTCCTCTGCTCCCGTACTCTTCCCTCCTCTCTTCCTTCCTCTGCTCCCGTACTCTCCCCTCCTCTCTTCCTTCCTCTGCTCCCGTACTCTCTCCTCCTCTCTTCCTTCCTCAAGGGCGCTGCTTAGCTGCCATGCCCTGAAGGGCGCTGCTTAGCTGCCATGCCCTGAAGGGCGCTGCTTAGCTGCCATGCCCTGAAGGGCGCTGCTTAGCTGCCATGCCCTGAAGGGCGCTGCTTAGCTGCCATGCCCTGAAGGGCGCTGCTTAGCTGCCATGCCCTGAAGGGCGCTGCTTAGCTGCCATGCCCTGAAGGGCGCTGCTTAGCTGCCATGCCCTGAAGGGCGCTGCTTAGCTACCTTCTCACTTCAACCCCTTCTCACTTCAACCCCTTCTCACTTCAACCCCTTCGATTTCTTTGTGCTGCCCCCTGGGCTTCCCTCCTCCCTTCTCCTCTCAGGCGCACACCTCATCTGCTACCCAGGTGCCTTCAACATGACTACATTCTGTTTCCACACTTTCCCTTCCCCCGCCATTCCATACATACTTCCCACATCAGGCGCGCACCTCATCTGCTACCCGGGTGCTTTCAACATGACCACTTCCTCTTTCCCACTTTCCCTTAACCCTCTTTGCCCTGGTCCACTCTCCCTCCCTCTCATACGTACTTCCCACATCAGGCGCGCACCTCATCTGCTACCCGGGTGCTTTCAACATGACCACTTCCTCTTTCCCACTTTCCCTTAACCCTCTTTGCCCTGGTCCACTCTCCCTCCCTCTCATACGTACTTCCCACATCAGGCGCGCACCTCATCTGCTACCCGGGTGCTTTCAACATGACCACTTCCTCTTTCCCACTTTCCCTTAACCCTCTTTGCCCTGGTCCACTCTCTCTCCCTCTCATACGTACTTCCCACATCAGGCGCGCACCTCATCTGCTACCCGGGTGCTTTCAACATGACCACTTCCTCTTTCCCACTTTCCCTTAACCCTCTTTGCCCTGGTCCACTCTCCCTCCCTCTCATACGTACTTCCCACATCAGGCGCGCACCTCATCTGCTACCCGGGTGCTTTCAACATGACCACTTCCTCTTTCCCACTTTCCCTTAACCCTCTTTGCCCTGGTCCACTCTCCCTCCCTCTCATACGTACTTCCCACATCAGGCGCGCACCTCATCTGCTACCCGGGTGCTTTCAACATGACCACTTCCTCTTTCCCACTTTCCCTTAACCCTCTTTGCCCTGGTCCACTCTCCCTCCCTCTCATACGTACTTCCCACATCAGGCGCGCACCTCATCTGCTACCCGGGTGCTTTCAACATGACCACTTCCTCTTTCCCACTTTCCCTTAACCCTCTTTGCCCTGGTCCACTCTCCCTCCCTCTCATACGTACTTCCCACATCAGGCGCGCACCTCATCTGCAACCCGGGTGCTTTCAACATGACCACTTCCTCTTTCCCACTTTCCCTTAACCCTCTTTGCCCTGGTCCACTCTCCCTCCCTCTCATACGTACTTCCCACATCAGGCGCGCACCTCATCTGCTACCCGGGTGCTTTCAACATGACCACTTCCTCTTTCCCACTTTCCCTTAACCCTCTTTGCCCTGGTCCACTCTCCCTCCCTCTCATACGTACTTCCCACATCAGGCGCGCACCTCATCTGCTACCCGGATGCTTTCAACATGACCACTTCCTCTTTCCCACTTTCCCTTAACCCTCTTTGCCCTGGTCCACTCTCCCTCCCTCTCATACGTACTTCCCACATCAGGCGCCCACCTCATCTGCTACCCGGGTGCCTTCAACATGACCACGGGACCCTTGCACTGGCAGCTGCTGCAGCAGGCCAGGTGGGGAGCGATTGGGTGGGCGGGCAGGCAGGTGGGTCTTAGGATGTAGAGGATGAGTAAACACTTGGGGTGGTAACTTGAAGTTTGCTCAACATGACCACAGGACCCTTGCACTGGCAGCTGCTGCAGCAAGCCAGGTGAGTGGGTGGGCGGGTGGGCGGGCGGGCGGGCGGGCGGGCGGCCGGCGGGCGAGCGGGCGGGCGAGTGGGTGGGTGGGTGGGTGGGTGGGTGGGTGGGTGGGTGGGTGGGTGGGTGGGTGGGTGGGTGGGTGGGTGGGTGGGTGGGTGAGTGGGTGGGTGGGTGGGTGGGTGGGTGGGTGGGTGGGTGGGTGGGTGGGTGGGTGGGTGGGTGGGTGGGTGGGTGGGTGGGTGGGTGGGTGGGTGGGTGGGTGGGGGGGGGGGGGGGGGGGGCTCATAGATGTAGAGGTTGAGTCTATACATTTGGGATGGAGGCTTGGACCGCTCAACATGACATGGGACTATTGCTGCACTAGCAGCTGCTTCAGCAAGCCAGTTAGGGATCAGGTGCCACCACGGCTTCACCCCCCTCCCCTCCCCTCCTGCCACCACGGCATCACCCCCCTCCCCTCCCCTCCTGTCACCATGGCTTCATCGCTCTCATCTCCCCCTTCCCCCCTCCCCCTCCCGCCCCCTGCACTACTCCCCCTTCCCTCCGGCTCTTCTCTCACCCGTTTTCACCCCTCCCCTTCCTGCCTCTGGCACCATTACCACGCTGATGCCACTGCTGCCGCTGTCACGGCTGCCGCTGTCATGGCTGCTGCTGCTGCTGCCTCTGCTATGGCTGCCGCTGCCACGGGGGTTTGACATGCCAATGGGTGCTGTGCTCTGCATTGCACCTACAGGGCAGTGGACAATCAGGTGGGTTCGATAGTTTCACTGCTAAGAATCTCTTTCTTTCTTTCTTTCTTTCTTTCTTTCTTTCTTTCTTTCTTTCTTTCTTTCTTTTGTTTTCTCTTTTCCTTCTGCGTCCTCATTCCCGTTCTTATACTACGAGTTCTGGCAAAATCCCGTGTATAAAGTGGCTTATAAACACACTGTTTGTCACACACAGGCTTACCCCACTCACCCACATTCCCCCTTCCTCCCCTCTCCCCTCCCCTGCCCTCCCCCTCATCCGTTCCCCCTCCCCACACCGTCTTACCTTCCCTCCTGCCCTTCCTGCTGCCCAGTTGTTTGTTGCCACGTGTTCACCTGCCCGGGATGACTCAGCATCGTACCGAGCCTGGGGTCACTCCACCCTGGTTGGGCCGGTGAGTGGAAGGGGAAGGGGACTCAAATGAAGGGGAAAGCTGGGTTGTCGGGTGGTAGGGTGGGTGATTGGGTGTTATAGCTTGACACGATATGAGGCATGGCATGGCATGGCATGGCATGGCATCGTACCGAGCCTGGGGTCACTCCACCCTGGTTGGGCCGGTGAGTGACAGGGGAAGGGGAAGGGGCAGGGAGGGGAAGAGGGGGCTTGGTTGCTGGGTGGGTGTCATTGCTTGGCATGACATGACATGACATGAGGGAGGACATGGGATCGTACCACCGAAGTTTTACACAAGAATCTTTTACCCAATGGCACCTAACTGGTGTCCTCTTCGGCTTGGTTGCTGGGTGGGTGCCATTGCTTGGCATGACATGACATGAGGGAGGACATGGCATCGTACCACCGAAGTTTTACACAAGAATCTTCTACCCAATGGCACCTAACTGGTGTCCTCTTCGGCTTGGTTGCTGGGTGGGTGCCATTGCTTGGCATGACATGACATGAGGGAGGACATGGGATTGTACCACCGAAGTTTTACACAAGAATCTTCTACCCAATGGCACCTAACTGGTGTCCTCTTCGGCTTGGTTGCTGGGTGGGTGCCATTGCTTGGCATGACATGACATGAGGGAGGACATGGGATTGTACTGGCTCTGGTTCACATTCTTGTGCTTGTCTCGCCTCTCATATGCAGTGAAAGCACGATGCCTTGCCATGCAGTAATCCACCCGACCACCCCTCTCATATGCATGTGCTTTCACCCACCCCTCTCTGCCCCTTGCCCCCTTGCCATCCCATTATCACCCACCCCTCTCCGCCCAACGACCGAGCATGGCAAGAACGGAGCATGAGGAGGCGGTGGGGGGGGGGAAGAGGTGGAACTTTGCCAATTTCGTGTGCTTGTCTCGCCCCAGTAACCCCTCTCTGCTCTCTGCCACCCATGCCATCTCCCCCAACCCACTTTGCCCTCTGCCTGCCATGCCTGTTGTCAGTTTGGGGAGATAGTGGCAACGACAGAGCATGAGGAGGCACTGGTGGTGGGAGAGGTGGACCTGACTCAGATTGACACGTGCAGGTGCGTGGGTGTTCTTGGTGGCATGCCATAGTGTGGTGCGATTGGCATAGGTGGTATGGAACGACGGAGCATGAGGAAGTGGTGGTGGTGGGAGAGGTGGACCTGACTCAGATTCACACTCGCAGGTGCGTGAACACAGGGGAGCTTCTCATACTATGGCATGACGTGGCATGGTGTGGCATGGTGCAAGTGGTGTGGTATGGCATGGCGCGGTGAAATCGGCATGGGTGGTATAACATGGCATGGTGCAAGTGGCATGGAAGTGTATCCATGGCATGAGCATGGCATGAGCATGGCATGGCAGAGAATGGAATGGCATTGTATGTATATCCATCTGCATCCATCTGCATGTGCTCGTTTATCCATATCCGCGTGCATGTGTATTCATCTCCAGATGCATACATTTCCATCCCCATGTGCATGTGTATCCATCCATGTGCATGTGTATCCATCCATGTGCATGTGTATCCATCCATGTGCATGTGTATCCATCCATGTGCATGTGTATCCATCCATGTGTATCCATCCACGTGCATGTGACTCCCATTTCCATGGCAGGCAAAACATGCCCATCAAGGTACAGCGAAGAGCAGACCTCTACCAGCTCATGGACAAGACTGCTGCCGATCAATAGGTGCAGCAGGCGCTCTGAACCTGACTGAACCACCACCAACCGTGCACTTTTGCAAACCTATGACAAGGCTGTACCTAAGAGTGAGAGGGATAAAGCAGACTTCTACCAACTTATCGACAAGACTGCTGCTGTGGTGGTGCCGCGATTTCGATTTCCGCACCTCCAATCGCACAATCGATGTGACTTTTGAAGCCCTCCTATCTCGGCAATTGGAGGGGACACGCTCGTGCCGAGTAGTTCGGATCGGATACTTTTAATTAAAGAAGGTGAAACAAGGATACATAGCCATTCCCGAATTGGCAAAGTTACTGTACAGTGTACACCCTGCACATCGATCCTTACTGTACAGTGTGACAAATGCGACGCGTCCTAAGAAGTATAAGTCAACACCATGACCGGCTGTATGTTGGCCTTATCCAGGTTCTCCCTGTAGGTGGCTTCGAGGCTGGACACCCCAAACACGTCCAGCAGCTTCCATCCGTCGAGCAGCAGCGGCATGCGGATGGGACCGTACACCCGATGCGCATTGAACACCAGCGTGTCGTTGCCCACTGGGAGCCCCAGGAAGAAGAGGCCGCCTGGCTTCAAGAGACCCCTGATCTGTGCATTTACAAGAGGGGATGCGAGGGAATGGGGGAGGTGTGAGAAGATGTAAATGGGAAAGGAAGAGATGTGAGAAGATGGTGCGTGCGTCAAGTATTGAAGAAGCCGTTGCCCACTGGGACACCCAGGAAGAAGCGTCCTTGAGGATTTGGAAGGCCCTTGTTCTGCACAGCTGCAAGCGGTAGAGATGTAAGAGGACATGGCAAATGACATGGCAAATGACATGGCAAATGACATGGCAAATGACATGGCAAATGACATGGCAAATGACATGGCAAATGACATGGCAAATGACATGGCAAATGACATGGCAAATGACATGGCAATTGACATGGCAAATGACATGGCAAATGACATGGAAAATGACATGGCAGATGACATGGCAAATGACATGGTAAAATGGCAAGTGACATCACATGGCTATGAGCTTTGAGAGCATAAGGTCCGGGAGGGATGGCAGGAAGCAATGAAAATTCGTGAGGTGGCTAAGATGGCAGAAGCGGTGGAGATGGTAGAAGAGGAGGAGATGGTAGAAGCGGAGGAGATGGTAGAGGAAATCGCGGCAAAAGGTAAGACATAGAATGATGTGAGGGGAGATGGCAGGATTGATGGGGGTAACAGGATTGACAGGGGTAACAAGCTTGATGGGGGTAACAAAGCATGGTAAGGACAGGCACGCACCAGTAACTTTTAGCAGTGAGGGAGAGAACACGTAGGAAGCATAGTTAGGCAACCCATACCGTACCACGGAAGCCGCACCCCTCAGTACCAATCATATCAGCAAATTTACCTTCGCCATTCTCTGCAGATCCCCATTCTGCTGATGCCATACCATGGAAACCGCACCCAGCCCACAGCATCAACCACAACAGCAAAATTACCTTGGCCATTCTCTCTAGATCCCCATCCGGGTTTAGCGGATCGCCATATCTCCCCAGCCCATCGTGCTCCAGCGACGAATAAGAAGCTACCACATCAAAGGTCTCATCTGAGGCGTCCAGCTCAGCAATATTCCACAGCCTCAATCCAGGGTAATCTGCAACCGGTTTGTTGAAATCAACGGTCGTGATCGACCCAGCCTTATACGCCAAGAGAATCGCCTCAAGCCAAGGCAATTGACTTCCCACCACCAGCACCGGTTTTCCTTTCACTGGGTGCGCATTCAACGCCTGGTAAAAACTTTGGGTAGCCTTTTTGCCATAACTAGAAACTCTCAGAGACCTACATTGGTTTGTGATTACAACGGTGGCGATCAGGACCGCTGACATGATTGCCACCTGCTGCCAGTTCACCACTTTCGCAAAACGCTCAGCTGCAGTTAACGGCATGGCGATTGGCTGATCACGAATGTCCTTCCTGCGTATATCACGCTCAGATTTATCACTGTTACGTTACGTTGTCGCCTCAAAATTGAAGTGACCTTGCGCCGAATCAAGTGCACGAGTCAAAACAGTGCCGAATCCATCGCGAAAGAGTGAGGCCCGAAAAGTTGCGGAATAGCAACTTCAAAGTTGCTTTTCCGCAACTTTGGTTTCGGAGAAAAAAAGTATAGGTCAAAGGCTTCTGTGGCGGGGTGACTTTCGAAGTTGCGGAAAAATGACGACAAAGCTTCAAAAAAATGGCCATATTGCAACCACACGACACAACTAAAAGGTGACATCTGAAGTGACATTTGTCTGAAGGTCTTGGGCTTTAAGTCCCTTTTGCCACCCCTTTGCCACATGGACGCCTGAACGCCACGTATGTAGATATTTCCTGCCAGCTGTCAAGGTGAATAGTGGACGAACAAATGTCACGTGGACCAATCAGATTTCGGGACGCATATTGGCGCATGCAATATAATTTGTGGAGACAATTGAGTTCAGCATGTACATCTAGAAATTTATATTAGTGTAAGTACATTTTTATACAACAGACCTGACAAAACGCCCTAACACCATAATCAACATGATCTGGCACAACTAAATAATCTAACTGCAGGTACTTCAACAGAATCAATACATTTACGCCTTTTCAATCACTTGAGCCTAGAGTTCTGAAACACACGTAAAATCAGAAACACAATCCAACGAAGACGGTGAGTAGTACCTGCAAAAACTGATGTTAGCCAGGCGAGTACAAATTTAGTTGGCGATGTCAAGATACTAAGCACCTAGGAAACTAGGTTTAGGCTTAGGATGCATAGTTAGGAGTAGGAGCTAGGGTTTAGCCTAGGCAAAGTAGAAGTCCAAGCAAAAGGAGTGTTTCAACTATAGAATGACAAGTACAAATAGAGGAGAAGCATGCAAGGAGTGGTGCACCACCACACAGGACAATAATGGGACTACAGTACAGCTAGAACTACATGCGCTTATACAGAACATATATCAAATATATTCTGACACACCCCCTAAGTGCATGCAGGAATAGCCATGTGCAGAACACCCCCTGAAGTGGTACACTCTGCAGGGCGCAGCAGAAGAAGAGGCGAAGTGAGGAGGAGGGGAAAGAACTGTGAGAGGAGAGGAGATAGGAGGCGGCGGCTGAAGCTGCAGACACACGGGCGACAGGAGCGGCTGGCACAGTGGCTACCGGGACAGCGCCCCGGACTACTGGAGTAACTGGCTCGGCGGCTACGAGGAGCGGCAAGAGCAACGGACCCACGGGCGACTGGCGCAGCAGGCTCGCTGGGCTACCGAGAGCACGAGGGCCCCGGACTACTGGCGCTGCTGGCGACACGACGGCTACCTCCGTTCAACTTCCCCCATTGCCCCACACCCCCTTCTACAACACTAGCGCCACTCCCTCGGCTCCCCCACACTCCCTCGGCTCCCCCCACACCCTCCCCCCCTCAGCAGCAGCTGCAGCAGTGGGAGAGAGAGAAATAGGAGGGGCAGCTTACTCACACCCGCCACCCCCAGCTCCCCCCACACTCCCTCGGCTCCCCCCACACCCTCCCCCCCTCAGCAGCAGCTGCAGCAGTGGGAGAGAGGCCACCCCCATACCCTCCCCCCCACTGCCGCACGCGCAGCATGGAGATGAAGGGGAAGGGTGGGGGGGGGGGTGGGCGGGGGGGCGGGGTAGGAGGTGCGCGGGCGACAGCAGGGCGCGCTGGCGGGCAGAACCCGTCGCGCGTCCAAGGCGCGCGACGGGCAGAAACCGTCGCACGCCCGGGGCGCGCGACGGGCAGAGAACCGTCGCACGCCAGGGGCGCGCGACGGGCAGGAAACCGTCGGGCGTCCGGGGCGCGCGACGGGGACGAAATCGCCGCACTCCCGAGGCGCGCGACGAGCAGAAAATCGACGCGCGCCCGGGGCGCGCGACGGGCAGAAAACCGACGGGATCCGAAATCGACGGGCAGAAAACCGACGGGCGGAAAAGCGGGCAGAGGGGCCCATGAGCGGAAGCGTAGTAGGCATAGGATCGAAACACTCTAATACCATGTCAAGATACTAAGCACCTAGGAAACTAGGTTTAGGCTTAGGATGCATAGTTAGGAGTAGGAGCTAGGGTTTAGCCTAGGCAAAGTAGAAGTCCAAGCAAAAGGAGTGTTTCAACTATAGAATGACAAGTACAAATAGAGGAGAAGCATGCAAGGAGTGGTGCACCACCACACAAGACAATAATGGGACTACACTACAGCTAGAACTACATGCGCTTATACAGAACATATATCAAATATATTCTGACAGGCGACATACCTGCGGCCACTTACCTGTCTGCCGCAATGGACTACGAATACTTGTGCCGTTTGATAAGTCAACATGTTTACGAAATACATCGACATAAATACAAGGTCGCGCAAATGAGGAGCGCACCACACGACGTTAAGAAAATACACATCTGCACACAAAGCGACATAATTCGACCAAGAGAGAACGCACTCCCAGCGTTGCCCTCCATTCCGCGCACAGCACGGTACGCCATAAGTTAGGCAACAACAAAAAAAAAAGAAACAAGGTGTCGACGTACCGATAAAGGACTGTCTTGTCAGAATAGTAGCTAAGGCTAAGAAGCCATGGCTAGGTTTTAGGGTACACGAAAGAGAAATGGAAGAAGAGGGGTTGCACTAGCAAGCAGTTGAGTACATATAGGAAACCCTAAATTGGGCTGTACTCGCTATAGAGTACCCCACTGCAGACTAGACAAATACAATATTCTGACACACCCCCATAGCCAAAGTGGGGTGTAATCAGCACAACAAGTAGGAGTTTACAGTTCACAAATATAAGCAAAGCTAGAGGCTATCACAGAGGGCTAGTGAGGAGGAGGAGGGACTATGAGAGGAGAGGAGGTAGTGGGCGGCAGCTGAAGCTGCTGGCACACGGCGCAACTGGAGCAACTGGCACACGGGCAACTGGAGCAACTGGCACACTGGCAACTGGAGCAACTGGCACACGGGCAACTGGAGTAACTGGCTCCGCGGCTAGACGAGCGGCAGGAGCAACTGACTCACGGGCGACTGGAGCAACGGGCTCACGGGCAACTGGAGCGACGGGCTCACGGGCGACTGGTGCAACGGTCTCACGGGCGATTCGAGCTGCTGGCTTCACGGCGGCCACCCCCCCTTCAACCTCCCCAAACTGTCCCACACCCCTTTTACACACCCCCTGCTGTACCCCTAGCTCCACTCCCACGTCACCCCCCTAGCACCACTCCCTCGGCTCCCACACACCCACCCCCCTCAGCGGCAGCTGCAGCAGTGGGAGCCGGAGGAGGAGGAGGAGCAGGGGACGGCTCACACACCCGCCACCCCCATACCCGTCACCCCCATACCCTGAGTGTGCGATAAGTGAGCTCAGGTGTGCGCGAAGCGTGCACATGCATGCGGGAAGCGAAATCGGGTGTGCGGAAAGCGAACTCAGGTGTGCGGGGAGGGGGGCCGTAGGGCGACGCGCGGGTCGACGGGGACGGGCGCACGGGTCCCCAGGGGCGGCACGCGGGTCGACGGGGCCGCCGCGAAGGGCGACGGGGAGCCGCGCGCTGGTCGACGGGGCCGCCGCGAAGGGCGACGGGGAGCCGCGCGCGGGTCGACGGGGCCGCCGCGAAGGGCGACGGGGAGCCGCGCGCGGGTCGACGGGGACGCCGCGAAGGGCGACGGGGAGCCGCGCGCAGGTCGACGGGGACGGGCGCGCGGGTCGACGAGGGGCTCCGCGACGGAACGCGAAACCGCTGCGACGGAACACGAAACCGCCGCGCGCGCCCAGGGTGCGCGGCGGGCAGGAAACCGCCATGCGTCCCGAGCGCATGGCGGGCAGAAAACCGCCACGCGCCCCGAGCGCGTGGCGGGAAGAAAAAAAATGAACATCGCACGCCACGGGGCGCGCGACAGATAGTATGGCAGCGGAAGCAGGCGGGCCCACAGGCCAGGAGCGTAACCGCTCTGATAGCATGCCAGAATAGTAGCTAAGGCTAAGAAGCCATGGCTAGGTTTTAGGGTACACGAAAGAGAAATGGAAGAAGAGGGGTTGCACTAGCAAGCAGTTGAGTACATATAGGAAACCCTAAATTGGGCTGTACTCGCTATAGAGTACCCCACTGCAGGCTAGACAAATACAATATTCTGACACGTCTCAGTGACTCCGAACACCCGTTGTACGGTTGTAAAACGGCTCCCGACCTCCAGTTGAATTTGGACGTCAACCTGGACAATGGCACAAGAAGAAAGAAAGAAAGAAAAAAAAAAAAAAAAAAAAAAAAAAGACGCAATAAGACTTTAGGAGAAAACGAGAATACTTAGGGAAGACGGATCTGATCGTGGCAGAAAAGATTGATGCAAAGAAGAGCAGCGCGCCTAGTAACCAGAAAAAAACGAGAAGAACAAGAACAGAAAATGAGACACAAAGCTAGGAGGAGGTAGAAGAAGGGGTTGGTTGGGAGCACATTAGATAGGTTCTAGGTTCAAAGGTGTCGTGGAGATAAGGAATCATGCTGATTGGTGGGCTCAGGTTTGTTTCCCACATCGAATGGTTCAGAACCACAAGATGTGGTTCTGATTCCCGAATCAGCAGAGTTTTGGTTGGCGACGTTACCACAAAATTCGGGAAACACAGTTGGCGTGTAACATTCGCGCTGCTTGTTGATTGGTCATTTCAATTTCAGTTCGGAGAAATTTCGGTCACACATGTAACATTTCGTCAGCTGTGGGAAGTTGCCGCTAATTTTAACTCCCTAAACCGCACTGTAACGCTCTTTAACACGCGAGACAGAAGTGGGTGTGCACATTTGAGGGGTGAAAGTGACATTTCCGTAGCTGTTTTGTTGCGCCATACAGGTGACATTCTCGCAACTTTCACACTGGGTGTTTTTCCGAAGGTTTTCCGCAGCTTTTCCGCAAGAAAAGCTACCGTGTACATTTTGTGTCCACAAGAGATTTCGCGATGTCACTTATATTGGAAGCGCGAACTCTTACGGAGACTGCTGCAATGCTGAGAAGTTGTAACAAGGCTCGCTTCAATTAGACCGATCTTGGCGACTCTTGCTTGATAGCTCTACCTATCTGACAAATCCACATTCCGCATTGTGAGTGAACTGAACTCAAACGTGAATTTGTCTGTAAATCTCTACCCGCTTGTCCAGGGTTCCCGCTTTCCAGAGTCGAATCTCGTGAGTACTGTACCGATCGGTAAGTGTCGCTCTCCGTATCTGTTGTAGATGAGATGAAATGTCGATGCATGGAGACGGATGAGATAGTAGCACATATCAGGAGGAAGGAAACAAGCAAAACTGGGGCCCTGGTTTGGTGCGCTGCGCACACTCCAGAGGACCATGACGAATCTGTGCCACAGCACCTAGCCCACGCGTCGATCTTCTGGCCTCGGCCATACGCTCTGTAGCAAAAAAATTACGAATTAGTAGTAGTCATAACAGTACCAGTACAACGATTATGAACCTATGGGCGCGTAAAATGAACGAGACTAATTCCGGAAAGGACATTAACCGTGCTGAACAATGTAATAATAACAATTTTCTTTTGTATAAAATCAAGCTTTAATATTTCATTTCTACATTTATTTAATAGATTTTGTTTCAGTATTCGGTTGTGCATACCGGTAGATTCATGAGTACATTCCGTTATTCGTGGGACTTCCAAAAGAGGCCGCTCTTGTTGCAGTCAAAACGCCACGATGATGGTGATGGCGGCGTGGGCGCCGTTTGCGGATGGCAGGTGCAGCCACGTCATTTCCATGTCAGATGAATACTTTCACTTTTCTTGAATCTCCCGCTTTTTCCGAACCAAGAAATGCTTGCCCTTTGGCTTTTGGTACGGTCACCAGGTTTGGAGACGCCTCAGTTCAATCTACAAATTCGTGAGGTTTTTACAACTGTTCAAGCATTTAGGGTGGGTCCAACTCATCACACCTCAGCTCAATTTGACCCTTTTTTGTAGGGTAACCACATCAATTTTTGAGATCAAACTGGATGACGCGATCGGTTTCCCAACTTGCAAAACGAGTCCCGTGCCAGATCACATTTTCCACTCGAAAAAAATCCAAATCATTTGCAAACTGGGCAGCTTTGATGTTCCGTCACCCGCTGCCTCACTTGCCGGTAACAGGGTGTACCTGCTTCGAGCGAGTGATGTGGTTTTCGTGGATTAGAACGATTGGTTGTCAATACCTTAGTTACCTTAGCGACGATTTTTCATTTCGCGAATCAATGTGTTCTGCTCAATTCAGTTTGTGTGGGCGGGATGCTGGGTCCGCGTAGACCCTCCAGGACGCGGAACGTATTTGAATTCGGATTCATCCATCTTCATCCGAACAGTTGGGATTTCGTTAGGGGAACTGAACTCGCTTTCCCCTCCTAGTCTCCCTTCCCTCCCCACTTTGAACTCTGAACTCACTCCATATTCCCGAATCCCGAGGCGTGCACAGACAGCCAACAAAAACATCAGAACATCACAGCAGCAAGCAACTACTGCTCCCTGCAGTGCTGCGCTGTCTCTCCTTAGGGTTCCCAAGCGACGAGGGATAGGAGAAAGTACAACATTGGAATGTCTAGAAATAATCTACTTGTCACTGGTAGGACCATACGGCAACGTTTCGTTTTTTACATTCCAACTAACCTCGTAGTTCTCAACATTATGTTCCCGTTTTTTTTTCTAATATAATAAACTTCATCGTCCCATTTTACTTAGCTCCATCCCTGATCGAATACACGCGGATAAGCGTTCTTACGTAGAAACCGCATTTCGCGAATGTTCGCGTTTTGCGAAAGCTCGTCGCCGCGGCGAGGCTCGTGTTGATGGAGGCTCGTCGATGGCCAATGGAGAAGCGCCTTCCTCCAACGGCTACATGCAAGCGGCCGCCGCTCCTCCCGCTCCTCCCGCTCCCCGACCAAAGCTCCCCGCCGCCACCCCCTCCTCATCGGCTAAATCGCAGCTTTCTTCCGCGAAGCCGCAACCTGCTTCCGCCAAAGCGCAGCCTCTTTCCGCCAAAGTTCAACCTGCTTCCGCCAAACCGCAGCCTGCATCGGGCAAGGCGCAAGCTTCCCCTGCCGCCATCTCAGCCGCCGTTGCCGCCGCTGCCGCCGCTTGTGCCAGTGCCAGCGCCGCTGCAGCTTCGCCGGACGCCGCAAGCGCACCACCCGCGCCGTCCGCCGCCGCATGCTCTGAGGCGCCTCGAGACTCGCCTTCTGTCGCCGCCTTTTCCGAAGCGCCTCAAAGATCGCCGTCAGTAGTAGCAGCCGCCGCTGCTGCAACGGCTGCACCGGCGCGGGCGGCGACGCCATCGCTGCCGCCGCCGCCGCTGGCACTTCCCGCGCCGCCGTCTCCTCTGCCGCTGCACGTTCAGCTTCAGCTGCTGCACTTCCCGTACTTGTCGGAAGCATGGACGGCTGAGGAGCAACGGCTGCTGGATCAAGGGCTCGCAAGGTGGGGCTCTGATTGACTGATGTTTTTCATGATAGAGAAAGATTACGAGGGAAACGTAGAGGAGGACGCGATTATACTGCTACACCTGAACGGGTTAGCGTTCGGAAAGTCGCTGAAGGGTTCGGTTGGCTCGTTCAAGGGTGCGACGTTGCACGACCGTGTAGTCGCAGAGTTATCGCGTCATTAGTGGCTGAGGCGAGTCGCAGAGTTCTCGCGTCGTTGCCTTCACCTGACGCTGATATTAGAGGCTGAGGCGAGTTGCCTAGAACCGCTATCGACCGATTCGCCACCCGCGCTTTTCGTCGCACCTGATCCCCCATCGTTCGAGATAGGTATCGTGAGAACAGGTTGGACAATGTCGTTGCGAACGCGTACGTTTGGACAAGAAGACCGCTCGATGAACCGCTAGATGAATGTTCCCGGCGTCGTTCAGCAATGACTCCCCCTCATGAACGCAGTGGTCGTCTAGAACCCTAAACCCCGCCTCTGCTCGGTTCTTGGTCCCTTGGTGATAATTGTACGCAGCTTACGTGCAGTGTTGCAAGCGAGGGTCGGTCGCATTGACCGTTGGATTTACCGTCTCCTTGGCGACGCGCGAATGTAGTGAGAGAGAGAGAGGACGACTGACCCGGCTTGGAGCGACATCTAGTTAATTGCCGTTCAGTTACAGGGGAAGATACCGTGTGGAGTGCATTCGTCGAACCATGGCTTTGCCGTTGTAACCCATTAATCCCCACACAAATGCCCGTACATCCATCCGTCCCGATTCCCTCCCGTCCAGGTCCCCCCCGCCACCCAGCGGGGAAAGAAACCGTGTGCATGCGCAGAACCATGCTTTTTTTTTCGGTAGTATCCGTTGACTGACTCCCACACAGGCGCTCGTGCATCCATCCAATCCGCTTCCCTCCCGTCCCCGCGGATCAGTTCACCCCCGCCCAGCGTTACCTCAAGATCGCAGCTCTCCAGGCAATGATCTCCCATCCTCCCTCCCACCCTCTCCCAGACACCCCCCCACCCCCCATCCCCCCACCCGCGACCCCCACCAGGTTCCCCGCGGATCAGTTCACCCCTGCTCAGCGCTACCTCAAGATTGCGACATCTCTGCCGGAGAAGATTTGACACGCCTCAAATCTCCAGGCAATAATTTCCTATTCCCTTCCCCCCTTCCACCCCCTCCCTCCCCCCCTCCGCCCTCCCCACTCCCCCCAGGTTCCCCGCGGATCAGTTCCCCCCCGCCCAGCGCTACCTCAAGATCGCGGCGTCTCTGCCGGTTAAGCTTTGAGGCGTCACAAATATCCAGGCAATATTTTCTCCCCATTTTTTGCTCTGTTCCCCCTGCTCCCACCAGGTTCCCCGCGGATCAGTTCACCCCCCCCCAGCGCTACCTCAAGATCGCGGCGTCACTGCCGGAGAAGATTTGAGACGCCTCAAATCTTCAGGCAATAGTTTCCCATTCCCTTCCCCCTCCCCTTCCACCCCCTTCCTCCCCCCTCCGCCCTCCCCACCCCCAGGTTTCCCGCGGATCAGTTCACCCCCCCCCAGTGCTACCTCAAGATTGCGGCGTCTCTGCCGGAGAAGACCGCCCGGGACGTCTCAACTCTCCCCTCCCACCCTCCTCCACACAACCCCCCCCTCCCCCTCCCCTTTCCCCTCCCCCACCCCCCCGCGCCCCCGCCCAGGTTCCCCGCGGATCACTTCCCCCCCGCCCAGCGCTACCTCAAGATCGCGGCGTCTCTGCCAGAGAAGTTGTGAGCCGCCTCAAATCTTCAGGCAATATTTTCCCATCCTTCCTCTTGCACTTTTTTCCCTCTTCCGCCCACCCCCCTTCCCCACTCCCCCAAGGTTCCCCGCGGATCAGTTCACCCCCCCCCCAGCGGTACCTCAAGATCGCGGCGTCCCTGCCGGAGAAGACTGCCCGGGACGTGGCTCTGCGCTGCAAATGGCTGCAGGTGAGCGAGGTCGCACCTGGGGGAGGTGATATCTTCTAGGGAAGGCCACACATGGGGAAGGTGATATTTGCTAGGGAAGGCCACACCTGGGGAAGGTGATATCTGCTAAAAGTTCACTTGTATCACGAGAAGACCGCCCGGGACGTGGCTCTGCGCTGCAAATGGCTGCAGGTGAGCGAGGTCGCACCTGGGGGAGGTGATATCTGCTAAGGAAGGCCGCACCTGGGGAAGGTGACATCTGAAGCGGTGGTTCGACTTTAGAGGTGCCTTCCTCAAAGGCCACACCTGGCGGAGGTGATATCTGGTGCAGTGCATCGCCTCGTCGTTGCAGCATCACTGCACCAGATATCACCTTCCGTCGCACCCTCTCTCGCTCCCTCTCTCCCACTCTCCCTCTCTCGCTCTTTCCCGGTCCAATACCCCGTGTCTCGTGCATCCCGCTGTCCCCTCCGTATCGTCTGATTGCGAGTTGACTTTTGAGTCGACTCAAAAGTAAGCTCTTTCCCTGTCCAATACCCCGTGTCTCGTGCATCCTGCATCCTGCTGTCCTCTCCCTGTTGTCTGCTTTCTCGCCCCTGTGGCGCAGAGGAAGGAGGCCCCTCTGGCCAGAGGCGGAGAGCATCTTTTCAGGCGTGCCTCGTACCTCATCCCACCCATGTTCAAATTTAGTCTCATCCCTCCCTCGTCCTGTCCCCTCCGTATCGTCTGCTTGCTCGCCCCTGTGAGCAGAGGAAGGAGGCGGGCAAGAGGCGGAGGGCGGAGGAGATCACAGCAGCCAAGAAGCAAAAGGACAAGAAGGCAAGCACACTACTCTCCCTCTCTCCCCCCCCAACCTCTATATCTGAGTCGCTTTTGAGAATTCTCTAAGGCGGGGAAGAGGCGAAAGGCAGAAGATCACAGCAGCCAAGAAGAAAAAGGACAAAAAGGCAAGCACACTCCTCTCCCTCTCTCTCACCCTCTCTCCTACTCTCTCCCTCTCTTTGCCTTTGCGTCTCTCACTCTCACTCTCACTCTGTCTCCGCCTCTGTGTTCCTCTCTGCCTCCAAACAACTTCTGAACTGCGCTTCTCTTTGTTTGTCCATACTATCGTTTCCATCCATCCCCATTCTACTGCAATTTCACGTCCTCACATTTCCGACGTCCCTCCTCCTGCTGCTGTTCCCACACAGGACAAGGACCAGCAGCAACGAATGCAGGCAGCAGCAGCAGGGGAACCCGCAGCAGCAGGAGGGGGAGGAGCAGGGGCAGGCGGGGGAGGGGGAACAGGCGGAAGCGCTGCAGGAGGTGGGGCGGCGAGGGCAGGGGGGGCGGGTATGGTCAAGGTGGAAGCTGCAGGTGCTGGGGATGGTGCTGGGGCGCAAGGGGCAGGGGGGGGCGCATCTGGTGCAGGTGTATCTGGGGCAGCAGCAGCAGGGGGAGGCGGCGGTGATGGGTGTGCTGCTGCTGACACGCATACAGACGGTGTTGATAACAGTGGCAGCTTGCTATCTGGTACGTCTGTTGTGCCCCCCTGAATTCCCCCCCCCCCCCCCCCCCCCCCCCCCCGCCTCCCCTTCTCCATTTCCCCAACCCCCCTTCATTTGCCCCCCCTCCATCTCTCCGCCTCCCATTCCCACTCCATTCCATGCAAACGAAGTAGCCTCGTTGCAACCCGCTCCCTGCGCCTTTTCGAGACAATTTTTGAGTCGACTCAAAAGTCTCCCCCATTCCCATCCCATTCCACACAGACCAAGTAGCCTCGTTCCACCCCGCTCTCTCTAAGCCTTTCCCATGAATTTGGTGCATGCCTTTTTATTTTCCGATGCCTCATCGCATGCTCCCTGATTCGTTACCCTGCTGGCATCCGCATGAACTTGGTGCATGTCATTTGGGCCGATTCCATCCGCTCCGCCTTCACATTTCTGATGCCTTGCCCTATCAATGGCTGCTATTTCTGATTATTCTATACGTTGCCTGCCTGACTGCCATTCAGACCGAACTGGAGCCATTCTCGCCGTTGATCCCCGCTGCCTTTCCTCTCCTCTCCTCTCCTCTCCTCTCCTCTCCTCTCCTCTCTCTCACAGGTGACTTTTGAGTCGACTCAAAAGTCACCTCACTGCCATTCAGACCGAACTGGAGCCATTCTCGCCGTTGATCCCCGCTGCCTTTCCTCTCCTCTCCTCTCTCTCACAGGGGATCTATCACCCGACAAGCTACTCGAGCAGAACGTGGACCTCATCTCCCAAGTCCCTTTGAGGCGCCTCTAAAGTCGACCCGTTGCGTCTCCTCTCCTCTCCTCTCCTCTCCTCTCCTCTCCTCACCTCTCCTCTATCCCAGGGGATCTCGAACAAAACGTGGACCTCATCTCCCAAGTCAAGGCTGCACTGGCCACGAACAAGGTGGGCATGCTGCTGTTGTGACGAATGGTAACCTGGTAACCAGGTAGTGAAGTACCCAAGTAACCGTGTACCATTATGATATCACGTACCTTAAGGACTTCATTCATGCCTCCACCTGCCTCCACACTTCTTGCTGACTGGGAACGTTGTCTCTTCTGCTGCTAACTAGCTCCTTCTGCTGTTGCTGCTGCTGCTGCTGCTGCTGCTGCCGCCTTCCCATTCCCCTGCCAGTCGCAGGAGTGCAATGGCCTCCTGATTCGGCTGAGAGACAACATTCTCTCTGTCGTCCATGGGTAAGCTCACTCCCACACCACTCACTCCCCTCCTCCACACCACTCACTCCCCTCCTCCACACCACTCACTCCCCTCCTCCACACCACTCACTCCCCTCCTCCACACCACTCACTCCCCTCCTCCACACCACTCACTCCCCTCCTCCACACCACTCACTCCCCTCCTCCACACCGCTCACTCCCCTCCTTCACACCACACACCCACCTCCTGATTCAGCTGAGAGACAAAATCCTCTCAGTCGTCCATGTGTAAATTCGTGCCTCCCATCCATCCCCACACACCTGCCTCTCAGGCTCAACAACATGCCCTCTCACCGCTTCACACCACTTGCTTACCATGAGCAGCCTGCCCCCCCCTTCCCCCTTCCCCATGCACACGCACACGTGCGCGCGCACGCGCTCACACGCACACCCCCCGTCCTCCTCCCCCCTCCCCCTCCGCGTCTCCCTCCCAACACAACACACGCACACATGCTCATGCGACATACATCCTCGCTCTGTCCTCCCCTCCCTCCCACTTGGCCTGTCCTCATTACAGGATGACTTCAGTCCCCGCTACAATGAGCCAGATGCCGCTTCTTCCTGTTATTCTTAACGTATACATCTCTCCTCCTCCTCCCACCCACTCGGCCTGTCCTCGTTACAGGTTGACCTCAGTCCCCGGTACGATGAGCCAGATGCCACCTCTCCCAGTCAATCCTAACTTATACCTCTCCCCTCCCTCCCCTCCCACCCACTTGGCCTGTCCTCGTTACAGGATGACCTCAGTCCCCGGTATAATGAGCCAGATGCCGCCTCTCCCAGTCAAGCCTAACCTAGACCTCGCCTGCCAAGTCCTCTCCCCCTCCCCCTCCTCCTCCCTCATCCCCATCTCCATGCCGCCTGGCCTCCCCGCTACAACCATCCATGCTACAGCCGGCCTCCCAGCAGCAACAGGGCCAGCCGCTACACCCATGCTGAGTGCAGCAGGCTTGCCCGCTACAGCCGGCCCTGCTACAGCCATGCCAGGCCTCCCCGCTACAGCCATGGGAGCAGCAGGAATGGGAGGAATGGGAGGAATGGGAGGAATTGGAGGAATTGGAGGCATGGGAACCATGGGGGGCATGGGAGGTATGGGGGGAATGGGAGGGATGGGGGGGATGGGAGGGATGGGGAGCATGGGGGGCATGGGGAGCATGGGGGGAATGGGGGGCATGGGGCCCATGAGAGGAGCGCCTGGCATGCCCATGGGTATGCCCATGCCGATGCCCATGGCTATGATGCCTTCCATGGGGCCGCCACCAGGTGCAGGAGCCATGTCGCAGTGATGACTCATCCAGTGCCATCCCAAGTTGCAATAATGGCAATGCTAACCGCCTCTCTCAACCGTCGCTCGCAACCGCCTCTGCCAAGCGCCTCTCATACTGCTACCTCTTCCTGCCATACAATAGCTCCACACATTCCATCTCTTTCCTTGTTCTCGCTAACAGCCCACTCATCCCCTCCGCTGCTTACTTCCTCTCACTAACTCCGGGTCTCCTCCTCCCCCCTCCCCTCCCCCCTTTTTTCCAAAGCGATCTCGCTCCCCTCCCTTCCCTCTCCACCCACGTCCCTCCCTTTGTAATCTCATTCTCCCTTGCTCTCATCCGCTCACACTAATGCTACCTGTCACTGTTATCTGCTACTGCTTCTTTCCAGCCCCAGGGTTTGCCTCGCATGCTGCATGCTGCAGCAGCCACGGCTCTGGCCAGGGCAATTACCGCTGGTCTGAAAACATCAGGGGGTTGGGTGGGGTATCAGGTGTAGATGGTTGCGACCGTACAGTTTTAGAGTTTCCAGCACAGAAAAGGTGGTGGGAGCGGATTGCTGTGCGGTGCATGCTGCGTGCTGCAGCTATGTTGTCGATGCAGTGTCATCACCTTTCCCTGCACTCCTGGAAGGGAGGCCATATGGTTAACACTGGGACGGGTTTAGCTACTACTGCTCTTCTAGGATTTAGGTAACTCGCAAAGAATGGTTCCCTTGATGCTCTTTGTCAATGACATGGGGAGAAGCATTTATCATTATGATTCCATGGTATGCAGTTTGTAACATGCCTGTTAACTAACGAAAGGGATGTAGTGTAGTTTTTGTACAGACCTGTTCGGTAGTGATTCAGCCTGTTGGATAATTTTGGCTGCCAGCGTGGCAACGAGGTCCAAGCTTGGTGTAAGAATGACGTGTAGCGAACAGTTGTTCAGGCGCAATGTAGCATGGACTCAGGTCCGCAAGATCCGGAAGGTGGCCACTGAAATGATTGATGCCTCAGAGATGCAAAACTGAATCTCCTCATCCTACGGTACATGTCAAATGTGAAGCTTCGTATCGGACGGTTTATATTGCATGTCACGTCACCCTTCATGCTCAATGTTTGTATGTTGACCCACCCTTTTCCACTCATTTGCAAACCTCTCCAGACCTCTCTGTTCCCCGTCTCTCCTCTCACATGCGCATTATGGGAAACCATCTCTTGTCCGCTGTTCTGTTCCCCATCCCTTCAACTCCTGGACCTGGAAACTCTCATGCTCCAGTTTGCATCCATCAGGATTCAGGACAGTTGAGAGAGGATCACGTTTGATCGCTGTGAGGATCATTGTTGTCGTCTCGAGGCCTGAATTACAAGAAAAGTTGGGAGGTGTTAACACCTCACCTTCCGGACCAACACCAGGCCTCCCGAACCAGGGTGGTTACCAGGTCTCCACCTGCAAAATGTGAAAGAAGTCGCAGGCAGCACAGTGAAGGGTCGCTCGGTTCCCGCGCAACCACTCTAGCTGTGGTGTGCACACCAAACTGTGTCTTGTAATTCAGGTCGACAGAAAATGCCTAGTCTGAGCAGCTAGAGCGACAGCCATAGCTTAGAATTTCCAGGCTTCCAAGCAAATCCAGCGCATGTCTGAAAATTCCGCCATAGGGCTTTAGGACCGTGCGGATATTCTTGCAATCCGTCGCTTATGCCAAACGCGGGCCTAGCTCACGTTACCACGTTTCCCTACGGTGTTCTAGCTAAAGCAGTCGCGGATGATGACTCCATCCCGTCGCCCACGGGCACTCCCCGAGAACGAGCACGCACACTCGGTCCCGTCACCCTCGCGCACTCCATTCCGCTGCCCACGCTCAAGACCTTCCCGTCTGTAACAGTGCAGCAGCCGAATGCTGCCAACAGCAATGCAGGTGGGCGGAAGTCAAGCGCCACCTCACCTACAGTTCGGATTGGTCAAGCGCCCCATCCTGCAGCTGGGCGACCAGATTCCGACACGCAGCCCAAGTCAATCCCACGCACGAAAATTACGAAACGCAGGACTCCGAAGTTCCGACCGCTCGCCGACTTCGCCAACAACACCGACGAAATTACAGCCCCGTAACCAAGCTCGCCGTCCAATCCCGTACCGCAATAATTCTCTGAATTTCACGGCAGGTTCATTTCAAAGGGTTGGGTTACCATTGAGAAATTCAAAGAGAGTCGCGACTTGGGAGTGCGACTCGATGTTTGAATGTGCTCTATAAAATTGTACTGTCAAATTTGTGAAGTCATAGTGCAATTTCCAGAGAACTCCAGAGAGCACTCTTTCCTCGTTTTCCTAGCCTACTAAGGCTGCTACTTCCTGCCAGCAACGTTTCACTGGTAATCAGAGCCTGGTTAGTCACTTCGCACGCTCCCACCATATTCTAGACCCTATGGCTGGGCCGTCTGATATGACTCCGGAACTCTGGAACGAGTTTGTCGCAAATATGCGCCGAGAAATTGAACGCGAGGTGCGTGACCGGATCCTCGGCGAACTCCAGGAACGTGGACTCCTGGGCACACAGGTGCCGACGCCAGCACCTGCTGTGGTTTCTGCACGACCCAAAGCACCCGAACCTGAGTCGTTCATCCCTGGAAAACGTCACTTACCGGTGCGACGGTGGCTTTTCCAAGTGGAGGAATACCTCTCCCTTTGTCATGTCAACCGGGCGGAGTGGGCTCGGCACGCCGGCATGATGCTGAGGGGTGCAGCTGCTACTTGGTAGCAGAGTTGCCATGCTACGATTTCAACTTGGGAAGAGTTTTCTGCATCGCTATTAATGAACTTCGAGCCGGTCAACTCCATCGAGCGCGCACGTGACAACCTTGCTGAATTGCGTCAACATCGCTCGGTCGCTGAGTACATCAACCGCTTCCGTGAGCTCGTGCTTGAGATCCCTGACATCCCTGCTGCTGAACAGATGGACAAATTCAAACGTGGGGTGAAGCCGAAAATCCGCACCGAGGTTGAACTCCGTGGCGCTACGACGTTGGATGAGATGATTCGTGTCGCCGAGCGTTTCGACACCATCAACTTTGCAGCGTACCAGCGATTCCAAGGACGAACCGGGCAGCACACCACTGCTGGACCTACCTACCGCACCAACGGTCCTACTCCCATGGAGCTCGGTGTAGTGGACCAACGCGCACGCAACCAGTCCACGCTTACGTGCTACTCGTGCGGGAAAGTTGGTCACATCAAGCGACACTGCCCGAACCGCCGCAACTTTTAAAGGTCTCCGGGAAACGGACAGCGCCAGTAGCTGTGGGGCAGACCGCTGGCGCATCGCATGCCCCGCTTCTACCAACCCCATTGTTCATCGGCACCTCTGAACTCTACACCACCTCAAACGCTCCATTCCCCGCCATCATTCTATACGCAAAAATAAAGAATCGCTACGTTGACTTTTTGCTCGATACCGGCGCTTCCACAAATTTCCTCTCTCCCTCGATTGCTGCTGAACTTTCTCTCCCCGAAGATCCCAACAGCAACCCACAGGACGTGATCATGGCAGATGGTAGTCGGCGGCGCTGCGGACCTACTCTCCTCCCCGTGCATTGCATGTTTGGAAGCCTGGAGGCGACGGTCACGTTCGAACAACTGCATCTCGGGGGGTACGAAGGCGTTATCGGTCGACCATGGTTGCACCAGTTTGGACCGCGGATTTATTGGCGCAACGGAACTGTCACCGTCGGCAGCTACGACCTCCCATCCCACTCCTTCCGTCGACCGTGGTCATCCCCAACCAGTTCCGCTTCGTCAACCCACCCACCCCAACCTGCCCCATCCCCATCTTCCCATATCCCCCCTCTCCCTCCTCCTCGCATAGCTCCCGTGCAGCAGCCAACACCACCCGGCTCTCCCGAAGTGATCAACACACCTCCTCCTTCTCCACCCCACCCAACCCAGCAGCCACGCCGTCCCATCATCCGCCCCACCTCTGAAGTTATCAATCCAACAGCCCCCACCCCTCCTTCACCACCTCCTCCTCATCATCTCCTAGTCATCTTCACGGCTCCCGAATCTGACGCATCAGCTACTTCTCTGCCACCGCCCATACAGAATCTTCTCAACGGTTATACGGATGTGTTTCCCGATGATTTACCTGCCGAACTTCCACCCGAGCGTGCTATTGACCATAGCATCCGCCTCATTCCAGGTTCTACACCGCCCGTACGCCCAACCTATCGCATGAGCACCGCTGAACTTTTGGAGCTCCGACGTCAACTCGATGACCTTCTCGAGAAGGGTTTCATCCGCCCAAGCACCTCACCATACGCTGCCCCCGTGCTTTTCACCCGCAAGAAGGAAGGTGACCTGCGCCTTTGCATCGACTACCGCGCCCTCAACGCCATCACAATCAAGAATAAGTACCCGCTACCCCGTGTCGAGGAGTTGTTCGACATGCTTGGGGAAGCAACAGTTTTTAGCAAGCTCGACCTACGCTCCGGTTACCACCAGATCCGGCTCGCCGAAGACGACATCAACAAGACGGCGTTTCGAACCCGCTACGGCCACTTCGAGTTCCGCGTACTTCCGTTCGGCCTCACCAACGCACCAGCCACGTTCATGGGACTCATGAACGACATTCTTCGGCCCTTCCTCGACCGCTTTGTCATCGTGTTCCTCGATGACATCCTCATTTTCAGCAAGTCACTCGAGGAACACGCTCAGCACCTACGCATCGTCCTCGACACGCTTCGCCAACACCGCCTCTACGCCAAGCTCTCCAAGTGCACCTTCGCCCGTTCAAGCATCGGCTTTCTCGGCCATGTCATCAGCTCCAAAGGCATTGCTATGGACCCCGCAAAGGTCCAGTGCCTTGCTGATTGGCCAGCCCCACGCACGGTAGCGGAGCTGCAAAGTTTCATCGGCCTCGCCAAGTATTACCGGAAATTCATTTTCAACTTCTCTCACATCTGCGCCCCTTTAACCGATCTCTTCCGTCAAGGAGCTGCCTTTCAATGGGGACTACCGCAGCAGACCGCTTTCAACTCAATCAAATCAGCACTCACCTCTGCACCGGTCCTCACCGTCGCCGACCCTTCACGCCCATACTTTATATGGACTGATGCTTCCGATGTGGCTGTTGGTGCCATTCTTTGCCAAGACCACGGCCATGGGATGCAGCCACTCGCTTTCGAGTCACGCAAGCTTCAACCGGCAGAGCGCAACTACGCAACACACGATCGGGAGCTCCTTGCCATTGTCCACGCAATCAAGACATGGCGCTGTTACGTGGAGCTGCAGCCCGTCACCGTCTACACCGACCACCGCCCTCTTCAACACTTGAAAACACAGCCCGTGCTCAGCCGCCGCCAAGCCCGATGGGCTGAGTTTTTGGAGCAGTTCGTACCCTCACTTCAGATTATCTACTGCCCCGGAAAACTCAACCCAGCCGACATCTTGTCCCGACCACCACCACCAGCCCCACCACCCACCGACCAGCCCATACCAACCACCAACCAGCCCCACCACTCCCCAACCAGCCCCACCTCATCACCTCCACCTCACACTCCGAACCCACCCTTGCAACTCCATGGAATCAGCAGCATCACTTGGGATGATACCTTCATCACGAAATTTCAGCGCGCCTACAAACGTGACCTGTTTTTTGTCAAGCAAGCACCCGAGGACCCGGCCTACTCATTTGAAGACCCATTTTGGTACAACACTGTCACCAAGACCATTTGTGTCCCTGCAGATCGCTCCTTACGACAGCTGCTACTCTCCGAATACCACGACACCGTTACCGGCAGCCACTTTGGTGTTGAGAAGACCTACGCACGCCTCTCCAACGACTACCATTGGCCACGCATGCATGCTGATGTGCGTGACTTCATACGCACCTGCCGCACCTGCCAACAACTCAAAGCACGCACCACCAACCGCTACGGACTCCTTCAGCCCATCCCTCCACCTACCAAAGTGTGGGATGAAGTCACCATGGACTTCATCATGGATCTGCCCCGCACACCCCGCAGCTACAACGCTATCCTAGTCGTCGTCGACCGACTCTCCAAAATGAGCCACTTCATTCCTACCCACACAACTGTCACCGCACCCGAGACAGCCCGACTCTTCTTCGATCACATAGTCCGCCTACATGGTCTCCCATCCGCCATCATTTCAGACCGTGACCCCCGCTTCTTGAGTAACTTTTGGCAGAGCCTCTTCAAGCTTCACGGAACCCGGCTGAAGTTTTCTACCGCGTATCACCCTGAAACGGACGGACAAACCGAACGGATGAACCGCACGCTTGAAGACGCCCTCCGTGCACAAGTTACTGCTCGCCAAATTGATTGGGATCTCCACCTCACCGCCATCGAACTCGCATACAACAGCACACCCCACCTTTCCACCGGCCAGCCACCCTTCTACCTCGCAACCGGACAGCACCCACGCCTCCCCACAACCCCACCCTCCCACCTTTCACACACACCAGCAGCCTTTGAGTTCCTCACTTCACTCGAATCAGCCATCGATGCCGCTCGCACCTCCATCCTTAAATCACAAGCAAAGCAGACCCGCTATGCCAACTCTCACCGCAAAGACATCCGCTTCAACGTTGGTGATCAAGTGCTTCTCTCCACTGACCACCTACCTCTCCTACGCAAAGGCACCACCAGAAAACTCGCCCCTCGCTTTATTGGCCCGTTCACCATCACCCGAGTCCTCTCACCAGTCACCTACCGTCTCCAACTGCCCAGCTATATGAAGATTCACCCCGTCTTCCATGTCCAGCGCCTCCGCCCTTTCCGTGCACCTTCACACGACCGTCCAGCCACACGCCAACTGCCACCGATGTTCGAAGGCAGCCTCGGCCTGTTTGAGGCTGCATCTATCACCGCTCACCGCGACACACCTCATGGTCGGGAGTTTCTTGTTCGTTGGAAGGATCAGCCTGCTAGTGAGGACTCATGGGAACCCGAGAGCCACCTTGACCGTGCTTCAACTGCTGTGAATCGATACTTGACCAGCCACGGTTTGGCGCCGTGGACGACGCCACTTGGAGGGGGAAGTAATGTAACAGTGCAGCAGCCGAATGCTGCCAACAGCAATGCAGGTGGGCGGAAGTCAAGCGCCACCTCACCTACAGTTCGGATTGGTCAAGCGCCCCATCCTGCAGCTGGGCGACCAGATTCCGACACGCAGCCCAAGTCAATCCCACGCACGAAAATTACGAAACGCAGGACTCCGAAGTTCCGACCGCTCGCCGACTTCGCCAACAACACCGACGAAATTACAGCCCCGTAACCAAGCTCGCCGTCCAATCCCGTACCGCAATAATTCTCTGAATTTCACGGCAGGTTCATTTCAAAGGGTTGGGTTACCATTGAGAAATTCAGAGAGAGTCGCGACTTGGGAGTGCGACTCGATGTTTGAATGTGCTCTATAAAATTGTACTGTCAAATTTGTGAAGTCATAGTGCAATTTCCAGAGAACTCCAGAGAGCACTCTATCCTCGTTTTCCTAGCCTACTAAGGCTGCTACTTCCTGCCAGCAACGTTTCACCGTCGCCCACGCTCACTCCCTTTCCATCGCGATCGCGCAATCGTACCGTCGCCCACGATCAGTCACTTCCGTCGCCCACGCTCACTCCATCCAGTTGCCCACGCTCACTCCCATTCCATCGCCAACGCGCAATCCTTCGATCGCACACGCGAACCCTCGCGCGTCGCACACGGCCTGTTCCCTCCTGTCGCAAACCGCCTCACCCATCGCCGCCTCACCCATCTCCGCCTCACCCATCGCCGCCTCACCCATCTCCGCCTCACCCATCGCCGCCTCACCCATCTCCCTTTCACGCATCGCCGCCTCACCCATCTCCGCCTCACCCATCTCCTCTCCCCCCCCATCGCGACAACTCCCCTTCCGCCGCCCACGCTCTCTCCCTCCCGCCGCGTTTCCGCACTACCCTCCTGTCGTGACGGTCCGCTCCGTCGCACACGCTCAATCCCCACCAGGGGAGACCATTACTTGCCCCCCTCGCTCGGCCACGCGAGACCCCTCCGTCGCACACGCTCATTCCCTTAATCGCCCACGTTCACTCCCCTCCGTCGCCCACACTCACTCTCTCCCGTCACCCACGCTCACTCCGACGGGAAGCACGCTCATTCCCCTCCCGTCGCCTTCGCTCACTCCCCTTCCCCCGCCCACGCTCGCTCCCTCCCGTCGCGTTCGGCCCCATCCGTCGCCCACGCTCATCTCCCTGCCGTCACACACGCACGCACCCTCCCCTCGACCGAGAAGGCATTCCTCGCTCCCGTCGCATACGCGTTCATCTCCCCATCCCTCATCTCCCCGTCCCTCATCTCCCCGTCCCTCATCTCCCCGTCCCTCATCTCCCCGTCCCTCATCTCCCCGTCCCTCATCTCCCCATCACTAATCTCCCCATCCCTCGTCTCCCCATCCCTCTCCTCCCCATCCCTCATATCTAATACCTCACCTCCCCATCCCCGCCTCCCACTCCCTTCCCTCCCCATCCCACACCTCCCCATCCCCGCCTCCCACTCCCTTCCCTCCCCATCCCACACCTCCCCATCCCCGCCTCCCACTCCCTTCCCTCCCCATCCCACACCTCCCCATCCCCGCCTCCCCATCCCTTCCCTCCCCATCCCACAACTCCCAGTCTCTCATCTTACCGTCGCTCATCTCCCCATCCCTCATCCTCCCATCCCTCATCTCCCCATCCCTCGTCTCCCCATCCCTCATCTCCCCATCCCTCGTCTCCCCATCCCTCATCTCCCCATCCCTCGTCTCCCCATCCCTCATCTCCCCGTCCCTCCCGTCCCTTTCCACTCGCCCCGCCACTCCCGCCGTGCTTCTCCCTCACCCCATTCTGCCTCGCCCCATTCCGCCCCATCCCATTCCGCCCCACCCCATTCCGCTCCACCCCATTCCGCTCCACCCCATTCCTCTCCCTATCCGTCCTCTCCCTATCCATCCTCTCCCCATCCGTCCTCTCCCCATCTGATCGTCTCCCCATCCGTCCTTCCCCCATCCGATCCTCTCCCCCTCCCCTCCAGGTGTTTCCCACACTGTCCTCGGCCTTGCGTCCACCGGGGAGCTGCTAGGGGCGCTGTGGGCGGATGGCGGCGGGCCATCTCCTCCTCACCCCATCTCCTCCTCACCCCATCTCCTCCTCACCCCATCTCCTCCTCACCCCATCTCCTCCTCACCCCATCTCCTCCTCACCCCATCTCCTCCTCACCCCATCTCCTCCTCACCCCATCTCCTCCTCACCCCATCTCCTCCTCACCCCACTCCTCACCCCATCTCCTCCTCACCCCATCTCCTCCTCACCCCATCTCCTCCACACCCCATCTCCTCCTCACCCCATCTCCTCCTCACCCCATCTCCTCCTCACCCCATCTCCTCCACACCCCATCTCCTCCTCACCCAATCTCCTCCTCACCCAATCTCCTCCTCACCCCATCTCCTCCTCACCCCATCTCCTCCTCACCCCATCTCCTCCTCACCCCATCTCCTCCTCACCCCATCTCCTCCTCACCCCATCTCCTCCTCACCCCATCTCCTCCACACCCCATCTCCTCCTCACCCCACTCCTCACCCCATCTCCTCCTCACCCCATCTCCTCCTCACCCCATCTCCTCCACACCCCATCTCCTCCTCACCCCATCTCCTCCACACCCCATCTCCTCCTCACCCAATCTCCTCCTCACCCAATCTCCTCCTCACCCCATCTCCTCCTCACCCCATCTCCTCCTCACCCCATCTCCTCCTCACCCCATCTCCTCCTCACCCCATCTCCTCCTCACCCCATCTCCTCCTCACCCCATCTCCTCCACACCCCATCTCCGCCCCACCCCACTCCCCATTCCACCAACTCCGCCCCACCCCATCTCCTCCACACCCCATCCTTCCTCCCTTCCTCCCTTTCTCTATTTTCCCATTCCTCCCTTCATCATTTCTCAGTTGTCATTCTTTTGCATGCTTGCTTCCCTTCTACTTCTGCCACGTCACATCTGACTTCCTGGTTTGTGTTTGCAGGTGTCTTCTCTGCATCTGGTTGGGATGTGTTGGCTGCTTGATATCTCACGACGTATAGACATGCCATGTATTGGATAGTTTCGTATGATACGGCATTATGAGCTTCAGAGCAGTCATACACATGACCACTAACTAGGGGTCCAACAAATAATATACTAGTACTATTTGTACCGTACAAGGGGAATCACTCAATTTTATAAAAGAACAAATCTGGTGCTGGGCACCTGTACCCTGCATTGGGGGAGGGGGGGGTGAGTGAAGGGGAAAAGACAGTAAAAGGAGTGAGCAGAAGGGAAGAGAAGAAGCAGCGGGGGACAGAGTGAGAAGGGGGGAAGAGAGGAAGCAGTGGGAAACAGAGTGAGCAGAAGTGAAGAGAGGGAGCAAGGGGGAAGAGAGTGAGAAGAGAAGGGGGTTGGGGAGCAGTGGTGAAACAGAGCAAGAAAGGGTGAAACAGAGTGAGTAAGGGTGAAACAGAGTGAGCAAGGGTGAAACAGAGTGAGCAAACCTTAACAAAGTGAGGAGGGGGGAAGAGAGTGAGCTGGTGGGAAGATAGTGAGCAGGTGGAAAGAGAGTGAGTAGTGGGTGATATAGTGAGCAGGGTGGACAAAGAGGAGGGGGAAGAGTGTGAGAAGGGCGAAAAAGAGTGTGCAAGGGGAAACAGATGGAGCAAGGGGAAACAGATGGAGCAAGGGGAAACAGATGGAGCAAGGGGAGGGGAAACGAGGGCGACGGACGCGGGAAAGTGAAGTCAACGGGAGTGGAAAAACGAGGTTGACGGGAGGGGGAAAGAGAGGTCGACAGCAGGGAAGGGGTTGGGGGGAAGCAGGGAAGGGGATGGGGGGAAGCAGGGAAGGGGATGGGGGGAAGCAGGGAAGGGGATGGGGGGATGCAGGGAAGGGGATGGGGGGAAGCAGGGAAGGGGATGGGGGGAAGCAGGGAAGGGGATGGGGGGAAACAGGGAAGGGGATGGGGGGAAGCAGGGAAGGGGATGGGGGGAAGAAGGGAAGGGGATGGGGGGAAGCAGGGAAGGGGATGGGGGGAAGCAGGGAAGGGGTTGGGGGGATGCAGGGAAGGGGATGGGGGGAAGCAGGGAAGGGGATGGGGGGAAGCAGGGAAGGGGATGGGGGGAAACAGGGAAGGGGATGGGGGGAAGCAGGGAAGGGGATGGGGGGAAGCAGGGAAGGGGATGGGGGGAAGCAGGGAAGGGGATGGGGGGAAGCAGGGAAGGGGATGGGGGGAAGCAGGGAAGGGGATGGGGGGAAGCAGGGAAGGGGATGGGGGGAAACAGGGAAGGGGATGGGGGGAAGCAGGGAACGGGATGGGGGGAAGCAGGGAAGGGGTTGGGGGAAAGCAGGGAAGGGGATGGGGGGAGGCAGGGGAGGGGACGGGGGGAAGCAGGAAAGGGGATGGGGGAAAGCAGGGACGGGGATGGGGGGAGGCAGGGGAGTGGACGGGGGGGAGCAGGGAAAGGGATGGGGGGAAGCAAGTCAGAGAATGGGGGGAAGCAGCGCAGGGGATACGGCGAAACAGGGAAGAAGATGGGGGGAAGCATTGCAGGGGATACGGGGAAACAGGGAAGAGGACGTGGGGAGCGGGAGAGATGCCGGGGAGAGAGCTGGGGGGAGGACGGTGGGGAGCAGGGCAATTGATGGGGGGAAGAGGGAGAGAGGTAAGCAGTGTGGGGGTGAAAGGCGATTATTGGGGAGAGGGAAGGGTGTATGTGCGGGTTGGAAAGGGGGGGTGACAAGTGTGCGAGATGAGAAGGGAGAAGGGAGGGATGGCGAGGGCAACGAGGAGTGGATGGGAGGGCGGCGGGGAAACCGAGGGCGACGGGGGAGAGAGATAGACGGGGATTGCGAGGGGACTCGCGGGAGGGAGGGCGACGAGCGGCAGGGAGGGCGACGAGCGGCAGGGAGGGCGACGAGACGAAGGGGGGCAACGGGCGGAAGGGAGCGCGACGAGGGGAAGGAAGGGCGGAGGGCGGAAGGGAAGGCAACGGGAGGACGGGAGGGCGACGAGAAGAAGGGAGGGCGACGGGCGGAAGGGAGCGCGACGAGGGGAAGGATGGACGGCGGGCGGAAGGGCGGGTGACGGGCGGATGCGAGGGCGACGGGCGGAAGCGAGGGCGGCGGGCGGGGAAGCGGCGAGGGGGACGGGCTTCCGCGAGGGTGGTAGGCGGGGAAAGCGAGAGCGACTGGCGGGGGAAGCGAGAGCGATGGGCGAGGGAAGCGAGGTCGACGGTCGGCTAGGCGGCGAGGGCGTCGGGCGATGGGCGAGGGTCGCGAGGTGGGCAAAGCGCTAATTTCTCATCTCCTCACGCCTATTCTCCGTGCTTCGATTGCGTGGCCACGCTGCACCTAGGGATTCCGGTTGTCTGAAATGTGTTCGCTATAACACCCTAATGTAAGAATCTTCGCGCAATGTAGCTACTGAATTTGTGTGCTGCCGCTTGGAGGAAACTAAGATTCGATCATTTCGTGTCTAAGTTAGTAGCTAGTAATGGTGTGCTGGTTTTTTGTCGACAGTAGTCCTGAAGGTGACATCCCTTCCCCATTGTATTGGTTTCTGTCGCCCAGATTCAATGTTGCGACACTTGTGTGTTCGCAAATTGGTTTCGCCACCCGAAAGTGTCACCCACCCGTCCGCACCTCTCCCCAACCTCTTCCCAAACCAATCGTTGACTCGTTTTTGTAATTCAGGCTGCGGGTTTTAACACGGCTCTGTATGATGTAGATAGATATAGGAGGGTTTGAATGCGGCGTGTATGGATCCTTTCTGGGGCTTGTGGCAAGCCCAAGGAACACACAGGATGACAGAGCATCCGCTGTTCAGGCTTCTGCAATGCAACCACATAAACAACGGCACCACCAAGCGCTGGCCAGCTGCCATTGTTTGTGCAGCACAGAAACAGACGCGCGTGCTTCAAACTTCGTAACAAGCGTCCTTTTTGGAACGTGCGCTAGGTTTTCATGCATCAACCTCTCATCCATGCTCCGCATTATCCGTGCGATGTTGGTCTGGTCGAGACAAGCTGATCCAAAGAATGGGACGCGCATTCCAATTCCAATTGCACTCAGGACCAGACAGACGTCCAATTCGGGCTGTATCCCGGCTGCACAACGGCTGTGACCGTGTGGTCGTGTAAGGTGCTTCATCTCTGTCGAAGGGGATTCATTGTCTGTCACAGAGCAACCATTGCTTGTTTGACTTGGGAGCGACAATGCCGGGAACAATCTGCGTTCAGGGTACGTTGTTGAAACCATGGAGTTTTTAGGAAATTCGAATTCTTGTCGAAAACGGTTGCCCTCTCGCTCCAGCCGCTACTTCCAATTTTGTTGTTTTTGCGATTTCTCATATTCCATGTGCGCAGTTTTGGAATGCGTCGACGTGCCAGGGAATCAAGGTAACAATTCGGCAGGCCGCTACGATCAATGGTCGTTTTTCCTACGTCAATGGCTCTTGAGATTTTGCGTTTCTATGCTCCTTCACGGATTTTTCGTCTGACGTGAAATGGTGGTGGCTCTGATTTGTGTGTTGCATGCACTGCTGTGCTGGCGCTTTCTATGCGTGTGGCGCTCTCTCGAGCGCGGGATGCGTGGAATGCGTGGGATGGGTGTATACATGTGATGCATGTGGTGTATGGTGCCTTGGTGGGAGCAATTCATGACATGACAACGGGCATGCTGTATGCGCGATGGGGTGTGTGTGCCACATGGACCATGGCTGTTGGTGGCTTGTTTCATGCTGCATGATCGACATGTTTCCGTGGCTTTGGCGGTGCATGGCTGGAGGATTCTGCAGGCGATCAGTTCTCTGTGCAAGGTGGGTCGCACATCTGTACCAAACTAATGCCTCTCGAAACGCGCTCGTTTCAATTTGTGAACCACCTGACTCTAAACAACAATCCCATCCCCACATACCCGTTCCCCCAACCCCTCACTCTCCCCCTTTCATGGATCGCCTTGCCATCTGCCTTTAGTAGTATAATGCTGATTTGTATTCAGTTACTTGCTTTGACTGCCTCTCGATCCCCTTTCCGCTTCCAATGTTTTCTTTTGTTATACATGTATAAATTTATACACATACATATGGATTACATATATAATGCTACCAACACAAGCACTGATCTCTCTGCTAACCCCCTTGCCCAGTCGCGGTTGGATCGAAGGTTTTCTCCACGGGTCCCCAGTCGTCCGTGAAGGCATCTCTGGGGGATGCACTCCTGCTGCCCGCCTTCAATGCGGAGTTCTCCTTGTACGCCCCCTACCACCGCCCTCCAGCACATTGCACCGCACTCCACCACCTTCCACCCCTCTCTATCACTCCCCGCCACAGTCCACCACGTCCAGGCACTCTCCGTTGCACTCTGTTCACGCGCTGGCGGGATTCTGTTGCTCCCTGCTCCCTCTGCTGATTAAATCATCTCTCTGGTGTTCAATTCAACCTGCTCAGCACTGTTCGTCATTGTGTAATGGATGAGTGTGAGTGTGAGTTTGTGCACAGCCTTTACTCCATAGCCACCCATCCACCCTCGTTCCCTTGCTCTGCACTCTTGGAATGTGCGGTGCACGTGCATGCATGCGGAATGCGTGTTGTGCACGCACGCGTGTGCTGCACTGCACGTGTGTGACGAACGTGTGAACACATGGTATGCGTGTGCTGCATGTGTGATGTGTGTGCTGCACTGCACTGGCGCATTCATGTGCATCGCCATGCAGCGCCGTGCTGAACCTGGTGGATCCAGTGCTCCTCTCGCTCCTCGACTCACAAGGAACCATCGTCAGTCAGACCTGTAAGCATCCTCTGACGCATCACTCTGTTACTTAACATTAATGACTGAAACTGTGTTAACAGGACCTGCGTCTCTCCTTCCCTCATGTGTCACTCTTGATTGTTTGCTCCCACTGCTGCAGCCTTCCCTGTTTCCTGTTACCTTCATTTGCCCAAGTCTGCCTCTCAGTATGTTCTGTTACAATCCATATAGAGCAAATTGTGATCTTCCTGTGCATGACACCTTAATAATCCTGTACGTCACGCCACTTCACATTCTTGCCACGTCATTCCCATCCTGCCACGTCATCTCCTTCCTGCCACGTCATTCCCATCCTGCCTCGTCATCCCCCCCATCTTGTGCCACAGCCCTCAGAGAGTGCCTGTCATAGTGGAGAAGCGATTTCGAGATGAGATGCTGACGTGGACCAATGGCGCGCGTGTTCATGTCAAGTCCAGCTTCATGCTCACAGGAATGGAGAAAGCCAGAATCGCATCCATGGTGCGTGCGCGTGCCACCTATGTGCTCCCCATATTGTACCCACGTTCTGCCCATGTGCTACCCATGTACTGCCCGTGTGCTACTCATATGCTATGCATGTGCTCCCATATGCCACCCTTGTGGTAGCTAACCACCCATGTGCTACCCATGACCCCTTCCCCCTTGCACTTTCTTCCCTCGCTGTGTTCCTTGGCAGGTTCGCCAGCAGGTTGAGTCGAGTCAGAAAGGCGTGGGAGCAAGCGGCAAGGCGGATGATGGGAGTGAAAGGTCGAGGGTAATGGATGGAGAGGAGGGGGAGAAGAGGGAGGAAGCACGGAAGGAACAGGGAGGGAAAGAGGGCGGAAAGGAGGGCGGAGAGGAGAGGGGAGATAAGGGGGTAGAGGAAGCGGCAATGGAGAGGGGAGGTGAGGCGGGGAAGGAGGGCAAAAAAGGTGAGGAGGGGAAAAAAGGTGAGGAGGGGGACGTGCAGTTGACGCATGCCTCTCCCTCTTCCTCTGCGTCTGCGTCTGCCTCTGCTTCTGCCTCTGCCTCTGCTTCTGCCTCTGCCACCCCACCCACCGTTGTCACTCCCACTCTGTCTCCCTCTAACGTCTCCCTTCCTGTCTCTGCTGCTAGAGCCACGTCATCACCATCAACACGAGCAGCAGCCGCTGCAGCAGCAGGGCTATCAGCAGCATCGACACGAGCAGCAGCAGCAGGGCTATCAACAGCTTCGTCCACTCTAGCACGGGTGGCGCAGGAGGACGGGTTTGTGGTGGATAACGAGGCGCCTTGTAAGCGGGTCAGAAGGCGGCCGGGCAGGCCTGGGTTTGGGTGTTCGGAAGGTGGCCATGGAGTGCTCTGCTGGGGGAGGTTTGGCAAACGAAGCTGTAACTGCAGCTGCTGCAGATGGTAGTGGTGATGAATCTGCTGCTGGTGCCGCTGGTGGCGCTGCTGGTGGTGCTGCTGGCAACGACGCTGCTGCAGCTGCAGTTGCCGATGGGATTCATTCTGGTGAATTCTGTCTTGGCCCAGGAGGGGATGAGAGTGGAAAGGGGAGGAGGGGGATGGGGAGCGTACCACAGACAGGGCGCACAGATGAGGAGAGCTGCTGCGAGCAGACAGGGTCGAGCCCAGCCACAGCCACTCTCCTCCTCCTCCTCCACCTCCGTTGTTGGGGATGGCGGAACACAGCCACAGCCACAGCCACAGCCACAGCCACAGCCACAGCCACAGCCACAGCCACAGCCACAGCCACAGCCATTCCCGTCCTCTTTTTCCACCACCACTGCCAGCAGCAGTCCTTCCTTCAGCCGCCGCTGGTCTACAGGAGCTAGTCACGGTGCCACTGGGGGGAATGGCAGCATGGTCGGGTCTTTCACCAGCTCTGGCGTTGAGAGTGCTGGGTTGCACGCATCAACCTCGGCAGGTGCGGTTACTGCTGCTGGTAATGCAGGCTTGGAGGTCCAAACTAGGGCAGGTTCGGGATCCGAACGTGGAGCAGGTTCGGGTAGTGGAGGGGCCTCAGGCTCGGGTGAGGCTCGGGAGATTTTCTTCTCCAAAGCTGCAACTGTTTCAGCTGTTCCAACGTCCTGGATTGGCAGCAGCAGCAGTGGTGGTGGCGGTGCAAGCAGCTGTCGCCTGGGTGATTTCCTTTTCGGCGCAACGCGAGAAGAGGCGCTTTCCGCATTCCCGCCCCGTAGGTTCAGTGACGTGGGATCGCTGACTCAGCTGATGTACACGTGGCAGCAGCAGGGCGTTTCAGCGGCCAGCTCAGCTGTCAGTGGCGGTGGTTGTGGAGGCAATGTCACCACCACCAACAGCAATTGTGATGGCAGGGGCACAAGTTGCAACGGCGACAGTGGTAGTGACAGTGGCAGTGGCAGTGGCAGTGCTAGTGCTAGTGCTAGTGCTAGTGCTGCCTCTGAGAGCAACCTTCAGAGAGACTCTCTGCGTCCTTTCCCTGGTCGGTACAGTGATGTCAGTGGGTGGCGGAGAGGCATGGGCAGGGGCGCGCTGGGGAGGGAGCAGGGGGAGCTTGCGGGGAGGGGGGAGGTTGCTGTGGGTAGGGCGGGGGTGATGGGGCGGAGGGAGGGTGTGGGGCGGGGAGAGGGTGTGGGGAGGGGGGAGGGTGTGGGGAAGGGGGAGCACCTGGGGTTGCTGCTACAGCGGTGGGCAGAGGATGACCGATTTTGGGAGGAGGTTCGCCGACAGCGGAGGGAGGGACAGGGAGCGCAGGTGGGGCAGCAAGGGGGACAGGGGGGGCAGCGGGTGTTGAGGAGATGCATGGGCGCTGCTGGTAGTGCTGGCAGTTTGAGAGCACTCGTGGGAGGCCCAGCAAGGTCGGAAGGGAGTGTTGTGGGCAGGCTGGAAGGAGGAGTTGTTGTGAGAGGAGCAGGTGGAGGTGAGGAAGGAGAAGAGCAGGGAGGAGAAGGAGGAGTGGCTTGGCTAGTGGCAGCAGTAGAGACGGCAGCTGCTGAGACAGCGGCAGCGGGAGGAGAGGAGAGGGACGGAACGGAGGAGGAAGGAGTGGAGTCAGGTGGAGCAGTGGACCAGGGCACGGCTGCCACATCAACAGTGGTGACACGTGCTAGTGCTGGCGCAGGTGCCGCGGTGAGTGTGTCAGGAGCAGGCAGGGCAGCAGGCCGATCATCGGTAGTATCACCGCAAGAAGGGCCAGCCACCCCTGGAAGAGGCCCGGCCACCCCAGGAGGGCCAGCAACGCCAGGCGTATGTGATGCATCACCGTCACTCAGTGAGCAGCGCACATGCAGCATGAGCTTCAAGGAAAGACAGGGCGGTCATAGTAACAGCAGGCGAGACAGCAGCAGGAGAGAGAGCAGCTGCCCCAGCAGCAGTGCTGCAACCGACGCTGCCACCTACGGCCAAACCGCGTCCGCTTATAAGCAGTCTCCCTGTAAGAGCTCCCCGCTGAAGCGACGCCCGCGCGCCAGCCAAGGGGCTGTGAACCAGAGCGGTGAGATGGTGAACCAGAGCGGTGAGAGGGAGTATGGTGGCCGGTGGAGTGTCAGCAGTGGCTGGACTGGGACTGGCACTGGTAGCTCTAGCAAGAGCGGCTCTTGCAGAGACTCTGGCATTGTAAGTCGTAATGCGAGTCTCTGCAACGGCAGTGGGAGTGCTAGGAGAAGAGGTGGGCGAGGAGGGAATGAAGAGAAGGAAGGAAGGAAGGGGGAGGGAGGGAAGGCGGAGAGGGAGGGGGAGGGGATGGAGAGGAGGCAGCAGGTGGGGCAGCGGAAGGGGATGAGGAGGGTGAGGAGGTAGGCAGTGGCGGAGAAGGTTGGGGTGGTGGGGCAGGTGCAGCGGTGGATGGATGGGCTAGGGCCTATTGCTAAGCATGTGAGTGTGACAGGGTGGGATGGGTGGAGATGGGATGGCACATGGGGGGGTATTGTAACAAGGGAATAGGCGTGTGGTGGGGCAGGTGCAGCGGTGGATGGATGGCGTAGGGCCTATGGTCACACGTGTGTGAGAGTGTGACAGGATGGGATGAGATGGGATGGGATGAGACGGGATGGGATGCGATGCGATGCGATGTGATGCGATGGCACATGGGTGTGTTGTGACATGGGGATAAGCGCGGTGGGGCAGGTGCAGCTATATTGGAGCGACTTTTGAGAATTCTCAAAGGTCGCACCAATATCACCGGACAAGCGCGGTCGGGCAGGTACAGCCATGGATGCAGGCATGTGAGTGGGGTGGGGCTCACATGTTTCGCAATAAGGGCTGGGGCCTATTGCCATGCATGTCATTGTGGCAGGATGTGATGTGTCATGCATGTCATTGTGGCAGGATGCGATGTGTCATGCATGTCATTGTGGCAGGATGCGATGTGTCATGCATGTCATTGTGGCAGGATGCGATGTGTCATGCATGTCAGCAGCAGTGGTGCTCGTGCCTCGCCCTGCCTCTTGCTCTCCCCCTCTCTCTCAATGCCAACCCACTTTATCCCCCCCACTTCTCAGGTGCTCGCCATCGGAGGGGTGGCTGTGCTGGCAGCGGCAGTGCTCATACCGCGCCGCCCCAGGCAGCATGTGGAGGCTCTGACGCCCCTGCAGGTGGCGCAGCGAATGAGGTGAGTGAGTGAGTGCGTGCGTGCGTGCTGTGAGTTTCAGTTTTTTAACTTGCTCGGTTCTAACGATCATGTGTTTTCCCCCCCTGCCCATCCTGTCCAACTCGTGCAAGTTGGCCGTATCTGATTATCTGATAAACTTGATTTGATTCCTTCTCAACCTGTTTGCATTCGCTACAGTAGAGTGTTGATTCTTTCGAAGCCCTTATGGCCCCTGCTCCACAAAATCCCCTCTCAACAATATCGCTGCAGCATCTGTATGTCGATACCTTTGTCATTCTTGCTCCGTAACTCCCCTCACTCCGTTCCCCCACTCCCCTCCCCAACACGACTCCCGTCTGTCTCCACTCCACGCATGGTCGGCCGCTGCGTGAACACTGAAATGGCCCGACTTTAATCTCTGCCGGATTGACCCCCTCTGCTTCGACCACTGAAATGGCCTGTCACGGGCACGGCACGTGCTGGATGGAACGACGTCGTTCCGAACTGGAACGTGTGCCACCCGGTCTCGCATCTGACGGTGCATCAGGAATGGGAGCGCCAAGGAACTGGACGGAAAGTAAGGAAGCGTCGTTTACAGGTATCGTGTTCCCTGTGTTGTTTTGAAAATTGCTTGACATATGTCTCGCATCTGGCGGTGCATCAGGAACGGGAGCGCCAAGGAACTGGATGGAAAGTAAGGAAGCGTCGCTGCAGGTATCGTGTTCCCTGTGGTGCAACAAACAAGAAACGAGTGACATACATCTTGTATGGATAAGTGGATGCATGAGCAGGATTTGGATAGTGGCCCCTGGAGACACCCTTATCTCCCTTGCAGTTTCTGATTGCGCACAGACGAATCATATCTACTACTTGTATTAACTAGAACTGCATTCAGTGACCTGTGGTTCCCTTGTTTCCTGGTCTGGTCTGAGGTTGCAGGGCTTGGATCGTGCGTGAGACCTGGAGAGATAAATTTTGAATCGACTCAAAAGTGATGTGGTTCCTTTGTTGCCTGGTCTGGTCTGAGGTGGCAGGGTTTGGATTGTGCGACCAGGAGACACCCTCTGCTCCCTTGTGCCCCGAGCCACCTTGTGCGATCCCAACTCCGAGTTTTTCAGGCGCAATCCCAAGGTGAGAGGCACGTGCAGTCTTGGGATCACTCTGTTGCAACATGAGCTCCGAGGTGAGATCTTCAGCGGCTGCTCATGTTGCTCTCGTACATCACTTTGGCCACCTTGTGCGATCCCAACTCCGAGTTCTTCAGACGCAACCCCGAGGTGAGAGGCAACCCCGAGGTGAGAGGCAACCCCGAGGTGAGAGGCAACCCCGAGGTGAGAGGCAACCCCGAGGTGAGAGGCAACCCCGAGGTGAGAGGCAACCCCGAGGTGAGAGGCACGTCATGGCCTTGAGATAGAGACCATGGTGCTCGTGTTGCTGCCGGGTCATGTGTTTGTGGCTTGTGCAAACCCGAGGTGGAATTCAATTCACGTCACAGCTTCGGGGGGAGACCCCTTAGTGCTCATGTTGCTGCCAGGTCGTGTATTTTTCGCACGGCTTGTGTAATTGCAACCTTGATTTCTCCAATCTACCTCTCAAGGTGAGATCCACATGATCCATGTCATGGCTTTAAGGAAGCTGATGGCTTGATGGCTTTGATTGCACGGCTTGATGGCTCAAAGAAAGTCTGTACTTTTGTGATTTTTGAAAGCTTTCAAGCTAAACATCGAAATGGGATCCATCCATGCCATGGCCGTTGAGATGCTTGAGAATTCACAAAAATGGAATTCATGCCATGGCAACGGTCATGCCATGCCATGGCCATCCAATCTACCTCTTCCATGCCATGGTCTTTGAGATCGGAAGAGTGGTGCTTACCTCATGAGGTGTCTATTTCCGACATCTCTTGCCATTATTTTAGGCGCCTAAAAAAATCAGATCGGAAGATTGGTGCTTGCTTGGCTCATGAGGTGCACTTCGTCGTGTGGTTGTGGTGCTAGATCACTTTTGAGACGTCTCAAAACACATGGCATGGCATGACATGGCATGGCTTGGCTTTTGAGACAGGAAGAGTGGTGCTTGCCTCATGAGGTGCACGTCGTCGTGTGGTTGTGGTGCAACCTGTTTTTGTAACTTCGTCTGGTTGCAATTTGCTCTGTCTTGCTAAGGTGCTGTATATTTCTCCCGTGTGCCATCAGGTGTGCGACGTGAACAAGATCTACTCGGGCTAGTGCCTGCTGCTGCCTTAGCGGAGCACACTACGTTGTCTGTTGGTGATTTACTCTGGCTCGCTAGGATGCCATGTGTTGGTGCAACCCTACGGTTTGCACTCGGCTTGTTGTCCGTGTGCGTGAATGTGTGTGTGTATGGAATGGTATGAGGGCATGAAATAATATATATTTCATGCTTATAATTGTGTGTGAATGTTGAGTCATGATGTCGAGTGTGTGTGTCGAGTCAATAGCGAGTTATCGCTAGACGCGTGTTACGCGGTCGTTTGTGTCTCGCGCGCGGTTTCTATTTTGTCGTGCGCGGTTTCTATTTTGTCCTGTGTCGAACGTTCGGCGTGTCGCAGGTGTGTGCAGCAGACCCATCAAGAACTCAAGGATGAGTTTGTGATGAAGAGCCCGAGCCTTGGTGTCAAGCCTCAAGTGATTTCGAAGCTTGCCAAAAGGGTACACCTCAAGATATTGAAGATAGTTACATTACTTTGTGTAGTGTAACATTTCACTTGGTGTAGGCCCTAGTGAAGGGTAGTTTCGAGACCCTTCGTGGTTGGGGACAGTGTGGCACTGTTCCACATCACTGTACCTCGGCTCTTGGGGTTTGTAGGAGCTGGGAGTCATTCTCAAGTCGTAACTCTTCCTATCTTGTGTTCTAAGACTATAGTGGCTGCCATAGTACCGTTCGTTCAAACCGACGCTGTGTCGTCAATTCTTTATCAAATCGTACAATCTAAATTGCTAATTGTAGACGACGTGAAGACGCTCCAGATCCAATTTGAATCAAGTCATTTGCAGCTGTGAGCAGAACGCTATCAACGTTTGAAGCCGCTGTGCAGAAATCCGTCTGTGCTCTCTATCTTTCGTTTTAGGCACATTCAAGCCTATTGTGACTATAACAAGTGGTATCAGAGCCCCTTGGAGCAGTTTAGACAATGTCTGGACCTGAGGAAAGGGGTGGCAGAGGTGCTGGTGGCAGTGGAGAAGCTCAAGCTCAAGGCCAACCCCGTGATTCAGCCATGGCGCCCATGCAACCAAGTCTTGGCCCACCTAGGGATGAGCCTAGGGTGTTTGAGCTTGACAAGTTCAACGGTGACAACTTTGCTGAATGGTCCTTCAAGATGGAGAACATCTTTGACCACTATGACCTGCTGGAGGTGATGGAAGGAACGGAGAAGCGCCCCGAGAACGACCCGGAGAAGAGCCCGTGGGTGCGGAAGAGCGCACAAGGCTATCTCTTACTTGGGCAAGCGTTGGGGAGCAGTCAGATCCGTCACATCAAGCCATTCCAGCGTGAACCAGAGAAAGGACCAAAGGCATGGGCTGCTCTCAAGGGTGTACATGCTCCTGCAACAGCGGCGGTAGCGGTGGTGTTGGAACGGCAAATGGCGGCACTACGAATTGAAGAAGACGAAGCGGTTGAAGAAGGGGTGCAGACATTCTTCGACTTGTTGACGCGGCTTGAGGGAGCTGATTTGAACTACAGTGAGCTCCAAAAGAAGACCAAGTTGTTGGCCTTACTCCCAGAGTCATGGTCCTCGCTCATCATCAACCTTAATCGCGACTTGCCCCGCCTCTCGCTTGAAGACGTGAAGCGAGCTATCCTTCAAGAGGATTTCCGCCGCCGTGAGTTGGCGAGTGCGGATGGCGCTGGGGCAGCGAGCATCGGCCGTGGATATGGTCGAGGAAGAGGCAGAGGACGAGGGGGAGGAAGGTTTGGTGGCAGCAACTTCGGCGGAGGCCGCAGGAGTGGCGGTTACGGCAGCGACGACAAGAGCTACGGACGCGGTCGCGGCCGATTCGACGGCGAGTGTCACTATTGCCACAAGAGCGGACACATGTGGCGCGACTGCTACAAACTTCCTGATGGTTGGACCCCTGCTCAAGGCCAAGAGGGTAGAGGAGCAGGAGGAGGGAGAGGACGAGGCCGTGGAGGCCGTGGCGGTCGCGGTGGCGGAGCTGCAAACATGAAGAGCGGAAACAACGACAAGGACCCGAGCGACGATCGATACCCGGGTCTATTCTACTTCGTGTCGACGCAAGTACCGGCTGGTCCAGAGAAGGATGAAGGCTTTGAGGAGCCAGCAGCTGTGGGGAAGGTGACCCTACACCCCCTGGACTATTGGGTGATTGATAGTGGCGCTACCTATAGCATGACACCTCGCCCGGACTTGCTCACCGAACTCGAGCCGTCACCGGTGAAGCATGTCACATCGGCTTTGGGGCAGCGAGCAGAGGTGAAAGGCATGGGCAAGGCCATGTTCAAGGGTGCTGATGGGAAGATGGTGGGCCTCAAGAACGTGCTTTGGGTGCCCAGCCTTGCTGCAAACCTGATTTCCGTGCGGCGGTTGGCAAAGGCCGGCATGGACACGAACTCGAAGGGAGCCAAGACCTACACCGCAAGGCTTGGCGATCGAATTCTTTGGGACCTTCATGAGGACAGGGATGTCTACAACGAGATGTGGCAGATCCCAGTGGTCCCTATGCCTAAGGAGAGGCAAGTGGCAGCAAGCATCAGCACCAAGGATGGAGCGGCCGGTAGCGACGATGACGCGAACGGTCGCGCTAAGGAGAATGAGCTCAAGAAGAGCAAACCTGGAGGGACCAGCAAGTTCAGTGAACCTAAGGAGAGTGGTGCAGCAACCAAGGAGCAGCAAAAGGGTGAGGAGAACCCAAAGGCAGCAGCGGAGGAGGACTACGGAGAGAGTATGTGGGGCGCTATTGCGAGCGCGGCATTCTCCAATCCAACTTCGGCTACGGGGGAGTGTGATTGGCTCACATTGCATCGGCGCATGGGGCATGTGGCCCTGCCCATCTTGCAGCAGCTAGTGAAGAATGAGATGGTTGCTGGCATACGTGTGAAGGGGGAGCCCGATGAGGTGCTTGGCTGCCCGATGTGCATTCAAGCCAAGTTCACCCGGTTTCTGTTCCCTAGTTCGGAGGCAACGGCAAAGGCACCGCTTGATGAGGTGGTGATGGACGTGGTGGGCCCCCTGAAGCTTGGAGCTGCTGGAGCTGAGTATTTTCTCACCATTGTCGACGTCTACACCCGCATGACTTGGGTGTACGTGCTGGCCAAGAAGAGCGACGTGGCTGAAACGTTGAAGACGGATTGGTTCCCGATGGTGGAGCGGCAACAAGACCGTCTAGTCAAGTCAATCCGCACCGATCGAGGGGGAGAGTTCCTGAGCAAGGAGTTTGGGTTGTGGCTGAAGAAGAATGGTATTCGGCACTCCCTCACCATGCCATACTCCCCTGCAATGAACGGCATCGCCGAGCGAGCGAACCGCACAATCACGGAGGCGGCACGCGGGTTGCTCATTGAAGCCGGGCTACCCGACTATTTCAGGCCTGATGCGGTGCGGAGCGCGTGTGTGGCCAAGAACAGAGCCTTGACTCATGTGGGAGCAGACAAATGGGTTCCCTATGTGGAGTGGCTAGGAAGGAAGCCAAAGGTGGATATGCTTCGGGTGTTCGGGTGCATGTGCATGGCGCTCGTGCCTAAGCATCTTCGGCACAACAAGCTTGGTGCCAAGGCGGTGTGGGCCGTGCACTTGGGCATGGCTCAAAACAGCAAGGGATGGCTTCTTTGGGACCCATTCACCAAGAAGTTCTTGGTGAGCAGGGACTGCAAGTTCATGGAGAACTTCATGTACAAGGATTGGAAGGCGGAGAATGAGGCGAAGATAGGCGTGCGGTTTGGGGAGGTGAAGAGTTCCGGTTTGGAGCATGTGGAGCTGCCTTTGGAGCTGAGCAGCGGCAGCACAACCACAAGGCAATCCTCCCTTGTGAATGGGGGAGAGGAGGCCAATGATGCAGAGGAAGAAGAGGAGGAGGTGCAGCAAGTGAGCGAGCGTGCACCGTCACTCCCTTCCCGTACTACGAGTGCTCCACGGATTCGAGCCACACCGC